ACAAAGGCGGTTGGAGAGGAATATCACGCTTTACCTGAACCGTTGGTTGAGCCTTTGATAAACTGAAGAATTTTGTGATATATATTTAAATATTATATTTTGATTTTTAACACTAGTATTTTATTTTTTCGGATAAAAGTTTGAACATTGCACGTAAATTTTTCATTTTGTAATGTGTTTTGTAGATTTTCTTAGATCTGAGTTGCTTACTTTCTTTATACACCCGACGAAAATGGAATTATACCTAAGCCAACGAAAGAAGGATGAATATTCATCTTTAATTATTTCATTAAATAATCTAAAATAATTCTCAGTTCCTAACTAATAGCAACATCTTGGATTGCACAATTGGGAAAATGAATTAATTAAAAAATTTCAAATCACTAGAAAAATATCAATGACGACTTAATATAAAATTAATTTTATTATTAGTTAAAATATAATTAAAAATAAAAGGAATATTATTAAAATTTGTTAAAAATAAATAAAATTAATAATAAATAATAACAATTTATTTAAAAATTTAGTTAATTCTATAAAAATACATAATTAATCATTTTTAATAATAAGAAAGCAAACTTTTGCACAAAATAATAAATTAAAATTTATATTCATAATTAATCTACGTAAATAAAATAAAAATTGAATTTTAATATTTACTAATATTAAGTTTATTTAAATAAATAAACTTTTAATATTTAGAGGTTTAAGGTGAGGAGCTCTGGCTTAAAGGTGAGGGAAACATTAAATATATTAAATAAATCCAAAGAAAGTCCCAATTAAATTTATTTTTCTAAAACAAAAAATAAAATGATATACAAAAATTCTCAAATTTTCATCCTACACAATTAAATATAGAATTGTTAATAATTAATTAAATAATAATAAATGCTCTATAAATTGAAATAAAATTAATATTAAATAGAATAAATTATTTTAATTTAATTTTAATTTTGCTTAACAAAACTTGGTTTTTGTAATAAATATATAATAAATTGGAGTTATAAAAAGGCTAATATGAAAAAACAAATTAAAAAATTCTAAATTAATGAAAAAGCATAAAGTGGAAATTCAATTCTATGATGAGATCTACTGCCACAATTGCCTGGAATTAATTATTGGTTATTATTAATTAATTATTAATTATTAATTATTAATTTAAGGTTAGAACATCTTTTCAATATAGAATTGAAGTTAATTGAAGTTTATTTAGTAAATTTGGAAAAAATATAATTGAAAAGATTTTAAAATTTAAGGGTTGCCCAGTAATATTTAATTTTAGAAACCTCTAATTTAATTTTATTATTTTATAATTAAAATAAAAAATACGTAAAAGGGATTATATAAGAATTTAAAAATGTAGTGGGTATTTTTCCATAAATAATTTATATTTTGTAATCTAAAATCTGAAAAAGTTAGAATTTTTTAAATTATTTTTCAACATTTTTAAAATTAACATCATAATAAAAATTAATTTTTAGATTTATTAATTATAATTTTTATCTTCCCAAAATTGTTGTTAAAATCAAAATTAAATTTTATTATTAGAAATTCTAATGCACATCTGACGATTTTTAATTAAAAATAAAAGAAAATATTCTTAAAATATATAATTCGACAATATGTATACAATATGTATATATTGTATATTAGAAATAAAATTACAGATTTGTCTTTATATTATCCAAAATCCATAACACTCTCATTAAAACTCATAAATAGTTTATAAATTTTTTAATGGTATCTGTTAAGTAAAATTTTATTTAATTTTAAATATAAAATAAAAATTTATCCTCCAAACTCAGTCATTAATCTAAAAAAATTATTCAGTATATTCAAATCTAAAGACCAAACTTTTTTAAATATTGAAAGGAAATTGATACTAAAATGTTTAAATTGTTTATTTAGATTAAGATAATAAATAACATTAATCTCATTTACAAAGAACATACAAGGATTTAAACGAAGTTTACAAATTATATTTTTTATAAGCTAAAATAAAGAGTAATAGACATATGTAAATATAAATTATTTCACTATTAAAATAATAAGATAAAGCAGGGCTCGCATTCCTACTTTTTTAAAAGTATTCTACTTTTAAATCGACCTGCATGCTTACGAAATTGAATTTATACTTTTTTGAAAGTATATACTTTTTTTTGATTGAAAATGAAATTGGGGAAGGGATTGGGCAAAAAAGTGAATTTTTTGGTCTTCGGCCTCCAAAATTCTCAAAATTTTCGCCTGCGGCGCAAAAAATGGAAGAAATCTGGCTTAAGGACCTACAAAATTCTCAAAATTTTCGCCTGCGGCGCAAAAAATGGAAGAAATCTGGCTTAAGGACCTACAAAATTCTCAAAATTTTCGCCTGCGGCGCAAAAAATGGAAGAAATCTGGCTTAAGGACCTACAAAATTCTCAAAATTTTCGCCTGCGGCGCAAAAAATGGAAGAAATCTGGCTTAAGGACCTACAAAATTCTCAAAATTTTCGCCTGCGGCGCAAAAAATGGAAGAAATCTGGCTTAAGGACCTACAAAATTCTCAAAATTTTCGCCTGCGGCGCAAAAAATAGATTTTTTGGCACCTTCGGCGCCACAAAAGGTTCATTGAAATTGACAAAAATGCTCAGTTGAAACAAGAAATTATTAGAAAAGATTCATTTAGGAGAGAAATATAAAAGATTTGAGGACGAAGAAATATTTTCTAATTTAATTTTGAGACTACTTTTTATTTGCAAATTTTCTCCCTATATACTTTTTAATCAAGATTTTGATACTTTTGAGTGGCATTTTGTCGATGCGAGCCCTGAGATAAAGACGATTCTAATTATATTTTTAATAATTCAATTTAAAAAAATTGGTAATTTTTAGTTGATTTAAAAAATTTTATTATGTATAAATTTTATTATGTATAAATATTTTATTTTAGAATTCAGAATTTTGAAAATGGTTAAAACTAAAAATGATTTACATATTAAATTAAACAATAAAAAATCAAATAATTATTTAAAAATATATGTAGCTTCACTATATAGTAATATTTTTATCAATTTTCGTAACAAAATAGAGCATTGAAGATTGCTATGCAGATATTTTATTAAAAAAGCATTATTAACTATAAAATTGCCGTTTTTACTATAGAAAATTAGTTAAAATAATAATGTTTGAATTATATGAATTGATAAATTATATATTTTAAAATAAAACTTTGTAAAATTAAATTATAAAATATTTACTGTTTAAAAATGAATTAGTGAATTTGACCTTCTTTTATTATATTTTAATTAAGAAAGTCGGAGAAAGAATATTTATTATTGAAGGAACATGGATAGGGTAACAAAGGAACAGTTTCAAAGAATAATTAGAATAATTTGTTGGAAAAATATTAATTAATATAAATAATAATAAAGTATATATGTAATACAGCCATTAGTTTAGTCCTAATGTGTGTATGTTTTTTACAAACAGAGATTAATAAAGTATAAAATTTTAACACATAATAATTGAAAACTTAACAAACCTGATTAAACAATTTTGTACATATATTTATATATGAATTATTAAATTCTTTTATTTATTAAAATAAATTTATTATTTAAATATTACCGAATATAAAATTTGATTTAGTAACATAAATCTGGGTTTGTATTATCCGCTTCAGCAATATTAATTATTTAATGCAAATAAATACTTTCTCAGTCAATGTACACATAATTCTAATTTTTTTTAAAATAAGGCGTTCCTCACCACTTTTTAATTTTATTCTTAAAAATATTTTTGTAAATTTGTAAAATATTCAACAGAATTATAATGACAGAAAATCAATTAAATATAAAAATAATTATTAAAATATATTTAGCAAAATAATAATAAATTTTGGAGAAAAAATTATGTCCTTATTTTGATTTAATTTTAAAAACTAAAGAAATTAAAAACTAAAATGTTTCACAAAATATGTAAATGATAAACTTATAAAATGCTTCAAAAAGCTTTTAATTTTTTAAAACACAAAATTATTCAATTTATTTATAAATAAACACTTGATGAAAAATAGATCATGTATTTTGACGTTACATCACTCTATCCTTAAATCAATGTCACAACAGAACAAAGATTACTGTACTTTATAACTAAAAAAAATGAAATAATAATAAAATTTTTAGATAAAAAATATTTTCAACAATATTATGTAACATTAGTGGAAGAACAAAAAGTTTATTTTATTTTTAAAAACTCACGCAAAATTAATCAAAAATCTAGTAAAAGTTAACAAAATTTAAATAATATAAAAAATTTAAGAAAAAACTAAGTAAAAATTAACATAATTTAATCTCTAAAAATATTAATTTCTGACTAAAATAGACATTCATTAAATATACTGCTACTACTCATTAAATGTAAATTTTGAATGATGAATCAGTAGATTGAAAAAATATTTGCACATTAAAAATATTTCACAAACACATTCATTAGTTACTTAATTATTTTTTATTTTAATTTAGCTTTATATGTTTGGTAATTATTATATTTAAACATAAATTCAGAATAATAATTCAAAATAAATAATTTTTAATAACCATTTATTTTTTAATTTAAAATATTTAATAAAAATAATAATGTTAACAAAATTAAATATCATTTTATTTATTTATTATGTCTTTGCCAAGCAAAATTTTCAAGATAAAATGATTAACAAGAATAATCAGCAAATGAATAATAAACAGTAAGTTTGATATTATTCTTTCTAGAATAGTTCAACTTTATCGAGACTTTTTGTGATCATTTCTCTGAGTTTTTAGTTATTTCTACATAATTTCCGTCCCTAAATATATTTAAAAATCTGAATTTGTCGGAAACCCAATATAAAAAATCATTTTCTTCTACTTAACACAATCCACCTATTCGACTCAACTTCCCAAACTCCATATAATATTCGAAATTTAGCGCCATCTCAAAAACATTTTTAATTAATAATTTAAATTAAGCGTGTTTTTAACTGATATGGTCAATACACATTTTCAGCTTCCATATTTAAATACTGATCAGTGTATGTTGCGCCAAGGACAGAAAAAACTTGGTTCTTATGGTTTAATCTTCGAAAGACCATTCTTCTATCTTTGTGACGAGTAAATAAAAAATAAAATTATTTTCTTTAATAAAATATTTAGATTATTAATTTGTTACCCGAGCCAGCTGATCGGTAATAATAGACGAAATGGAATTGTTACAACAGTTCCATATCGCCTTCGTGAAGCAAAAAAGGTGAATAAATTAGTGAATAAACTAGGTATCTACATATGAGTTAATAAGTTCCTCAGGCTTTCTGTTACTTCTAGTTTCATTTCCCTGAATTCTCAGTTTCATTCCTTTATTAACTATATTTAAAATAATTCTCAAATTTAAAAGAACAATGTCACCCTACAATGCGAACAACGACGCAAAGAATTTTGTAATGAAGAGAAAAATAAAAATTTGTGTAAGATTGGACAGCCTGGATCGACTATTTGGCATGGAATTTTGATTAAGACTGAAAACAAGAATCAAACCCTAAGTAATTCCCCTATTTTTGTAACAACAATATTATTGTCTATTACAAAACAAAAGTAATAAATTTTATTTATTATGTAAGTATTACTTGCTAAAATATTAAAATATTTTAGATATGAAATAAAGGACACATTGAAATTCTATATGAAATTTGGCCGTATGGAAGATATATTCACACGTGTCATTTTGAACAACGACACTCTTAAATGTTTGTAATCGGATTTAAAATTTGATTTAATAGTTCATATTTAGCAAAACAAGTGTTTCTTGGAAGCGACAAGAATCTTCTCAAAGAATACCTTTCCAAAGTTGATAAGGGGGCATCTCTTCACAAATATGTTGGCCTATGGGCTCTCGGATTGGATTTGTTACCAACATTGGAAGAACAACATTTACATTTATTTGTTTATAGAGGATGTGCTTGCTCAATTAATGTTTGGGTAAAATTTTTGATTAGAAATATCAAGAGGCAGAGCCGAAGGACCTATTCGAATAATTTTTTGATTGACACGGCTGGCACTTTTGTGGAAAATAACTATTGACCTAACGATTTATATCAGGAATCCTGCACTCCTTATTCCCAAAAATTAACTAGAATCGGGAATACCCATCGTTTTTTGGATCGGGAATTTCGATTCCCTAAAATCAGCAATTTATTTTTTATGTTGGCAAAAGCTCTGATTTCATAATGTATGTACATATATGTACATATAATATATTTAGTTCAAAACCCCAACAATACCAGAATCAACAAAGCCAGAAATTACACCAAGGTTGGAGACAGGGTACAAAAATTGTTCTGCAAAATATCCTGATAATACTTATGAATTGGGAAATCTAAAGGACGAGGAAAAAATAATTAAATTTTCAATAAGGGCAATTAACAACGGAAGTAGTGCCGCATTTGCATTTTTTAATGCGGCTGATATGTTTCTAGAAATAAATTTTAGAGGCAGAGAAATAATATTTTATTCATATATGGTAAGCTTTATGTTTTTATATTGAAAATATTATATAAGAATTGAGGGTATTTTAGTAACCGAAGTTCGATTAACCGAAATCCGATTCGAAAATTACCTGGGTTTTGGTTCGGTTCAGATTGAAACTAACAACACTACTTATAGGTATTTATTGAACCAGAATTTTGAGTTACACACTTCAATCTTTAACGTTTTGTAAAATTGTTTTCTTGTAAAACTTCCGATAAACAAAAATTATTATTAGTTTTTTAGTTTTTAAAATCCCAATTTAGCATAACAAAATACCAAAGCCAATTAGCAAATTTATTGATAGCAATTTGTTAGATTTTGGAACATCAATAGACTTAACTATTCGAATAAGCAATTATTATGTTTGGATATTATTTGAAAGTAATGTTTTTGTAAAATTTATCAAAAAATTATGGCCAGACGATTGGTGGAATGGAAAATTTTTAAATAAAACTAAACTCAAAATTTTAATTAGTGGTGATTTTATTTTAGCTGCCCCTATATTTATTAGAGTGATTGATGAGCAAAGCTTGGATGTAAGAAGTTTTTAAAAATTTTACTTAAAATCCTAGATAAAATGCCATTCTTTAATCTTTCTGTATCGATATTCTATAGGTTAAATGATTGTACATATTTTCTAATAATTTAATTATGTAATACCATATTTTCTCGATTAATTCCCCTCCCTCGAATAATTCCCCCTCTCGATTAATTCCCCTCCCTCGAATAATTCCCCCTCTCGATTAATTCCCCTCCCTCGAATAATTCCCCCTCTCGATTAATTCCCCTCCCTCGAATAATTCCCCCTCTCGATTAATTCCCCTCCCTCGAATAATTCCCCCTCTCGATTAATTCCCCTCCCTCGAATAATTCCCCCTCTCGATTAATTCCCCTCCCTCGAATAATTCCCCCTCTCGATTAATTCCCCTCCCTCGAATAATTCCCCCTCTCGATTAATTCCCCTCCCTCGAATAATTCCCCCTCTCGATTAATTCCCCTCCCTCGAATAATTCCCCCTCTCGATTAATTCCCCATGCTAGAGTTGGGTTGAAACAATAATTCCCCACCCCCAAATATCCCACTGCACGTTCAAATGCCAAAACTCGAATAATTCCCCTCCCTCGACCCCATGCCAAGGAAGTGTTGAAAAAATAATTCCCCAAGGAATTAATCGAGAAAATACGGGTATTTAAACTTTAATAATATTTAGCATTACAATAAAATGTTTGGTGTCATTCAAATGCCATATTCAGAAAAAATTAGAGAGACTACTAGCAATGAAATATTTTTTCGTTTTCATTTTAAAATAAACAATGAAGCAACGAAATTTAGTATAAAATTATTTAATGGTATAGAAGAAAATCCTTACAGTAATTTTTGAAAAAATATCTAATTTTCAGTAACATTATTTTAAGTTGGAACAATTGTTTATAGTTTCGATGTTTCCGATAATTTAACAAATGTTGCAATTAAAACAGGAGACGTAAGTACTAAATATGTTTTAGTTATAGTTATTATTCGGCAGTGGTTGGCAAAATTAAATATAAAAAAATTTTTCGTAAAGTATCCGAAAATTAAAGTTTAGTTTTTATGTTTATTCACTTATATGTAGTAATAACGAGTGTTAGTTAGTATTGTTTAAAAATTTTCATATCACCGAACTTTCAAAAATTGAAATAAATAAATTTAAGTGCTCTAATTATTATTCTGAATGTATTAAAGCGAAGGGATATTTGAATGATGAATGTTATATATTTAAATGTAAAAAGTTTCCTTCAAGAATATTTGAAAAGGGGCAAATATTCGAACTTCTTTTGCATGTTGTTAGTACAAGAAAGCTAGAATATAGAAATAATAAACTCGTTTTTAAACATACATCAATGATTGACGCATTTATTGATAAAAAATTCATGGAAAGATTTACAATAGAAAGTGACTTTCAAATCTGGACAATTAATAGTATATTGGTAATTCTAAATTTTTTTAAATCCATTTTTCTGTGTTACAAAGCTAAATTTCAGCTCATTAACATTTTTTCATTTTGGAGACTCTGTTAAGAATTCCTTTAGTTTAATATTTAGAAATTTCAGGAAACATATCTGTTCAAAATTAATCTTATAAGTAGGGAGTGGCAAAACATGCAAATGCATATTTTGTATGCGGATATGCCATGAGCTAAAACGCTCAAAAATGTTGTTTTTACGTCTGTACGAACATTAGGGACCGAGTTCCTATAGCATATTTTTGCATATTTTGGTACTTTTGTGCATATTTGCATATCGATGCATATTTTGGAAATTTTGCATGTTTTTACCTAAATTTGTGCATATTTTGGCATTTTTTGAGAAATTTTAGTAAAAATCGGGCAAATTATTCAAAATTCTGGAATTTTTTGAGCAAAAAATTTTTTGATAAAAATTTGATGAAAAAATTTTTTCGAAAAATTTTTTGGGAAAAATTTCTTTCAAAAAAATTTTTTTAGTTGAATTTTAAGTTAATAAAATCTTCCAAAAGTGCTTTTAAACTGCAATTTTAATCTAAAAATTGAAATATTGATTTTTAAAGCACATTTTTATTATTTTTGCTGCATATTTAGTGCATATTTCGCAAATTTAGGCATATTTTGGGCTTTTTAGGTGCATATATATGCGCATATTTTTGGATTTTTCGTGCATATTTTGCCGCTCCCTACTTATAGGCTATCACTAAAGGTCATAACTCCTATATTCAAAAATGTTAAGGAATACAATTAAAATAATCAAGGATCAGTAGGGTTCTTCAAAACCGAGGATTTTTCGTTTCTTATCCTAACTTCGGTACTAGATATCCGAAGACTTTTCTTGAACTAACAATCCTCTAAGGGATTATACTAATAAACTCTCCCCAAATAAATTTGCTATTCATACCCTGTAAATGCTTCTTAAATCCTTCGCTCCATTAAGAATGGTAGGGAATCATCACTTATATGTATCTGACAGACATTTAATAAACATATATTTTAGCTAGATGGTGATATTCAGCTTCTGTATCATCTCTATTATTATGGTAAACAGGAAAAAGTACCAGATTTGCGTTATCGAAAAGAGACTACTGAATTGAAAATAAATGGAAGTATCGTTTGTTTTGAGGCTTTGGTATCGAGTGGTAGTGAAATGAATTATGAACAATCTTCTTTTATAATACGATTAATTCACGATCCTCAAATTGCTAATAAACTTGGTTAGCTTTTTAACCAGTCCATTAAATATTTTACAATTTAATAAGATGTTGACCTTGTGATGGAAATAAAGTTTTACTTTGATCCTGACGAAAATACTGGGGAAGATGAAGAACATTTTACTTCTAGCCGTTCGCACATAGTTATAGAAAGCTATAGCTCTAAGAAAGGAATCCGTCAAAATCAAAAACTTTATAAAAATCCAATTGGAGCTGGTATGCCTATAGTTGTGTTAATTATAGCGTCAGGAAGTCAATACATCATTAATATTAACGGAGGTGATAACCTTTACTATCAGCATAAGGTATTTCCTCATTGGTCAACGAATCGTGTTGAGGTATGTATATTTCTTTATACCCTGCTAAACTTGCAAGAAATTTTGTTTTTATTAAAATTTTCGATTTTTTAAAATTTAAACTACAAAGCTACACATTTTGAATTCATTTTTTTAAAATGGCTAGCCATCGGATGAGGGAAACTATACTTCCAATTTAAAACCCACCTCAATTTTATATAAGCTTTTCTATATAAAATCGAGGGAGGCCATATTGTAAGTATATTTAACAAAGGTTTGAAATTGCAACAACCGAAAAATCCTGTCGAGTTTTTACAAAGCATCTGAAGGGTTGTGACATATAATGGAATGACAAAATCAGAAAGATCTCATTTAATATTTTACAGATAACAGGCTATATTAATAACGTATTATTTGATGAAAATTCTGATAAATGTCAAAAGCTAACAAAGAATATTTCTGAAGCTAAATTGGATGAAAAAACTAAAAGAGTGATAAAACAATTGAATAGTACAAGCGAAGTCATTATTAGTGGGAAAACTTCAGATATATTTAACAAAAATATTTCTGTTAATTTTCTCCATGCGGCTATTGAATGGAATGACACAAGTTTGATTTTAAATAATTTCAGCATTAAAGCGCTGAGCGAATTTTTAGTTAATGAAATTTCTTTCTACTTTTGTATACAATAAAACTTTAAGAAACATGTTTTTAGTGTGATACAAATTAGTCTAATTTTTGGTAATGACGACTTTTCTTTCCATGATAATTATTTTACTGTAGAAATTTTCTAAAGTTATTTAATTAGTGTGTATAACAGAAGTGGATCGGAACAGTTAGAGGTGTCGGAAATCGGAAATAAAATTAAAAATTGTCGGAAATCGGAATTTCGACCCACCTCTGTGTATACTTGTATCAATGTTCCTACTATGTATTTATTAATTTATATCTAATTTAGTAGGTAACACAGTCTTTCAAATGAATATTACAAGAGAATCTGTTTGTATAGATTCATATACGGTAGCTAATTTAAAATTAATTTTATTAAATTAATATTTAAAAGAACGGAAACTGGATTAAATTGAAAAGGAAAGAAGCTAATATATGCTCTAAACATCAAAATTTAAAGAAAAATGAACTGATAAAATTAACTTTAACTTTTAAAAATTCCTCCCTTTGGTATATATTGGAAACAAAAGAAAATGAATTTGAAAATAATGTTGCTTTGGATATACCTATATCATTAACCGAATATATTAATGTGAGGATATATTTTTAAACACTATTTATGAGACTGAAAGTTTTCAAGATAAATGACCGATATTAAATAATTATAATAAAACAAAGGACAAGCCTCGAGCGCAAAGAACAAAGAGTCGACTTGTGGGGGGGGGGGGGGGGGGGGGGATCGAGATTTATATCTCCAAAAATCTCGGTTTCAATAACCAGTCTCGGTTCAAACTTTAATAGTTAAGATTAAAACCAATAGTTCGAATAAAGCTTATTTATTTTAAATTTATACTAATTCAGGTTGACAACTTGATTAAGGATGTAGATGAATTAATATCAATAAAATATGAATAAGATGTATTTTTAAATGTTTGAGAAACTTTAGGAAACAATTTTTATAAGTTATATTTTTGACCTCGAATTATTTATTTCTTCATAATTTAAATAAATCTTATACATACTTTGTTTAAATGGTTATTCCTGTAGCTTTCTAAGTTCTATAAATAATGGGTTGTTAGATAAATAATGAGCCCTTTTCGCATTTTTAGTCTTTTTTTATGTATAGGTATTCGAATTTTAGTTAGAATTATTTTATATTACTAGAGTCGATGGTTCACGCTTTTTTCTACTATTCTAAACCATCTAAAAAATAAATTTTGATTTTTGCAATTTTTTAAAAATTTTTTAAAATTATGTCCTCAAAATCTGAAATTCGGACTGTTATTTTGTATTGCTTCAATCGAGGTTTAAGTACAACTCAAGCCAAAAACGAAAATGCCGCCTTGAAGGGCACAAGTTGGGAAGGCACAAGCCTTGAAGGGCACTCGTATGGCAACTTTTATTTCATCCGCCTTATTCTCCGGATATTACTTCGTCTGATTACCACTTATTCGGTTCGATAAAAAATCATTTGCGAGTTGTGAGCTTCAAAAATGATGCTCAACCCTCAAATTGGGTTGCCATATTTCTTGATATCAAATCTGCTACTAGATTTTATCAAAGGGGAATTAAAAAACCTCCCAGCGTATGGCAAGATGTGATAGATTATAATGGGCATTAAATTGTTTCTTGATTTCATTTCATTATTTAGTTATAGTAAATTGTTTTAATTATGCGCAAAGGGCTCATTATTTATCTAACAACCCATTACATAAGTTGCAAAATTTAAAAAAGCTAACATAATCTAACATTTTAAATTAATTTTTATAAGTAAGAAATAAAGGAGGCATAATGTTTCTTTTAAAGAACAAAAAATTAAAATATTTAAATTATTTACATATTTATGGAAAGAAAAACATGAAAATTCATTCTGCTCATACTAAGACTCATCTTCTTGAGTTTCATCTTCCTTCTCTTCTTCTTCATTTATATCTTCAGTATCTTCAGTTTTTGACTGTTCTTCTTTGGTTTCTCCTTCAGTTGTTGTTGCAGAATCCTCCACTGACTTTTCAGTCGCCTCTATCTTCTCTTTTGCTTTATTATCGCCGTCTTCATCCTTCCTTTGATTATTTTCCTTGAGATCTTCCTTCTTTTCTTCTACTTCACTAAATTCCTTCTTTTGACTTTCTTCCTTGACATTTTCCTTCATTTGTTCTTCTCCTTTGACATCTTTTTTCTTTGCTTCTACTTCAGCATCTTCCTTCTTTTGATTTTCTCTTTCGACATGTTCCTTCTTTTGTTCATCTTTTTTGACATCTTCATTTTTTCCTTCTTCTGTGACATGTTCCTTTTTTTGATCATCTCCTTTGACATCATCCTTGTTCTCTTTTACTTTTTCATCTTCCTTCTTTTGAACTTCTTCTTTGGCATTATCATTCTTTTCTCCTATGATATCTTCCTCCTTTTGATCCTCTCCTTTAACTTCTCTTTTAGTCACATCACTTGCCTCAACATCTTTCTCCTCCGTGTCAGAGCCCTTATTAAAGGCAAAGAAGTAGACAGCAATTCCAATCCCAATAACAGCCAGGATAACAACAATAATCACAAAAAACGGAAAGCCTGAAGAGCCTTGGGTGATAGTAGTTATTGTTGTTGTAGCTTTTGTAATTGTAGTTGTTAAAGAGAATACAGCTGTCAAAGTTTCAGTTATTTCTGGTGCCTTCTTGGACGATGAGTCTGTTCTATCATTAATACTAGAAGTTGATGTGGATATATTTTCTTTATTAATTGTAGTCTTTCTTTCCCCTTGAGTTGCTTTCAGTGTTGAAGTGCCAGGTGTTGGAGTAGTCAACAATTTGTAGTTATCTCTAGACTAAAGAGAATATTTCATCAATTGAATATAAATAAAATTATCACTTACAAATATAATCCTCAAATCATCACATTTTGGACCTTCTGGGTGTTCTTTTCTCACAACATATTCCTGTAATCCAGTATGATTATTTTTCATCAACATCCACTTCCGCGATGCCTTTTGTGGAAGAAGATGAAAAACCAACAAACGATTCATTTTAGGCTCTGGACTCGTACCAACAATTTCCCAGGTTGAAGGCGAGAGAATGTTTTCTTTGAGATTTTTGATGCAGTTAGATGGTTGAGGATTTCTGTCATTGTATTCCTTTAAAGATTCGATGTGAAATTGAGGAACTGTTTGTTTGATGTGTGTTTGATTAAAATACACAAATGTGCTGTTCAAGTTCCATTCTCTACGAATATAGTAAACCAATTTCGTGCCAACTAAAATAAGTTAAGTACATATTTATAATTTAATATGATGCGGATATCTACTTGGATTTGCATAAAGCACAACATTTTCTTTGCCTACAATTTTATCATATGCCCATCTAACTTCTAGCCCTGTCTTTTCGACACATCCCTCAGCACATCGGCAGAGACCATCAGCGAAAATCGGGCCATTGTGGAATTTCTTGGCTTCCTCATTTGTCAGACTGTAGGCAAAAGGCAGTCTACAAAATAATAATTTTATTAGAGAAATTCGATTAAAATATTGTATTTTATTCCTTAAAGGCTAAACTTACACGTTTGAATTTATGTCACTCCCGTTCAGACAAGCATCAAGCCCTCCTAGATTATGCACACCAGTCCAGAAAACAATCTCGTGCCCCTTATTGGTTAGAAGATCCATTGTACACCCTTTATCCTTTGTCGCCTCTAGATTTGTGTAATGGAGAACGCTGTGAAACAATTCGAAATATAATAATTAAAAGAAATTCTAACTCACATATTCCCCTCGTCATCAAAATCAACATTGCAAGCATTAGCAGAACTCGTCATGTACTGCTCAACGTCTTCTTTTTTGACAATCATAGATCCGTTAGCAAGCGTCACCTTTCCTTCTTGAAGAATGTGATCCCCAAGACCAACTTTGAAGGAGGGCTTAATTGTCGAGATCTTAGTTGATTCTTGCCCATTGTTGTCACTTGCCCTTGAAGTTGTTGTTATAGAGGTATTCTTATCTGTTGGATCTTTTGTTGTCGAAGTGAAATTATAAGATACGGAAGTGGTCAGCAATCGTAGTTACTCTTAGACTAAAAACGAAGATGTTAGAGCAATCAAATAAAATTAAAAAAAGGGTTATTCACTTACAAATATCATTATTAAATCATCACATTTTGGTCCTGTTGGGCGTTCTATTATCACAACATATGCAATAAACCCATTAAAAGGATTTTGCATCATGCGCCTTTTTCGTGTTGCCCTTTGTGGAAGAAGATGAAAAACCAACAAACGATTCATTGTAGGCTCTGGACTCGTACCAACAATTTCCCATGTTGAAGGTGAGAGAATGTTTTCTTTGGGATTTTCGATGCAGTTAGATGGTCGAGTATATATGTACTCTGTCCCGTTGTTTGAAAATTTGATGTGAAATTTAGGGCCTTTTTGGTTTATTACTAAACTTTGTTTCAATTCCACAAATTGTTCTCTCATGTCCCTTTTAATGCCAGCATAATAAACCATTTTTGTGGCAACTAAAATAAACATAGTCAATAATTTAATTACGCACAGATATCTTACTTGGATTTACATAAATCACAGCATATTCCTTGCTTCCAACTTTATCACGTGCCCATCTAACTTCTAGACCTGTCTTTTCGACACACCCCTCCATACAACTATCGCATGAAACATTAGCGAAACGCGGGCCATTGTGGAATTCCTTGACTTCCTCATTTGTCAGACTGTAGGCAAAAGGCAGTCTACAAAATAATTAGATTAGTGTTCAAATTTTATTGCCAAACGGCTAAACCTACACATTTGAATTGATGCTACTCTTTACCATACAAGAACCGAGCCCTTTAAAATCGTGCAATCTAGTCCAGAAAACAATCTCGTCCACCTTATCGGTTAGAAGATCCACAGTACAACCTTTATACCTCGCCCTAGCTTCTTTTCGGTAGTGGAGAATGCTGTAAAAACAGGGAATATTCTAATAAAAAGATCATGACTTACATATTCCCGTTAACGTCAAAATTAACATCGCAAGCATCGGCAGAACTCGCCTTGTACCGTTCAATGTCCTCATTATTGGTAATAACCCTCGAGCCTGCCGCAAGCGTCACCTTTCCTTCTTGCAGGATGTGATTCCCAAGGCCGACAGTGTTTGCTCCTGTGATGTTTAACTGCCCATGTAATTGTAGAACAATGAAGAAAGCCGCGATGTTTGCGAACATTGTTTGCTTTTTGTTCGATTTGTTGTTGTTGAAGATAGAAAATAACATTGTTAGTGGCTTTCCTAACACAAATTCTGTTATTAACGGTTTCTGATGATTGTAACGAAATGGAATTTTTGTAATGGAGTGATTATGTATATACAAATTATATTCTGGTTTTTATATGTATGTATGTAGTACATACTTTTTTCTGCCATTAGGACTTGGTTTAAATTGCTTTTGCATATACTCTGTTGATTTTAAATTACAAGAAAACATTGGTAGCTTGGTAACTACTCACATTTGATAATCAAACACACCCAAAACCTTGTTTTAGCTTGAAACCTGAAATTTTAACAAACCGAAAGATTTAAAATTGGTGAAGCCATGAACATGTTTGATTGAAACTTGGGTTAAACATTTAAAAAAATTAGTTTAAAATAAGAGAAGGAAAACAAAAAGAACCGCCTCGTTCTCAATTTCTGTAAAAATTAAGTGGCTAATATGCAGAAGAAAAGAGAAACAAGAGGGCCGTCTTAGAAAAAAATTCTCTTAATTGTTCTCTTCTCAACTTAATCTAAAAAATTAACCTTTCTTTTCCTAAAATTAAAAAAACATTAAAAGACCAAGTTTATATAAAAATTAAAATATAATTAGTGATCATATTTCAGAATTTTTTTTCACGCGATCCTAGTTCAAAAATTCAAAATATGATCACCATACAATACCTTGAAAAAAAATATTAAAATTAAACTTATTTTCCAAATTTTTTTTTCATTTTTTTTATTTATTTTCCAACATCTTTTCATCAGCTGTTAAAATTTTTTCATTCGCTGTTATTTGATCTTCTTTCTCTTCCTCCTCCATTTTTTCTTCTTTTACTTCCTCCTCCTCTTCAGATTTCTTTCCCTTCTTTTTATCTTTTTCTTCCTTTTCATTTGATTTATATTCAAGCTTAATTAGACTCGAAAATTTGGGTTGTATCCCATTAAATTTTGCAGATGTAATTGGCGTTACAAATGGTCCAGGAGGAGGAAGGGGGCTCTGACCAGCAGTAGCTTCTGCATCCTTAGTTGTGAGCCGATTAAGAATTCTAAATTTTTGGATTTTTAGAATTTATAAAATTAAATTTAAAATTAATTTTAAAATAAAACTTACGCTCTTTCAGTCATTCCTAATCGTTCAGTTACTGGTCGAAGTCGTGCAAGTGTTGTTGGAAGTCGAGAAACATCTTTAAAAATAAAAATAATTTAAAGAATTTAAAAACTTTTTTTAATAATTTGGCTACTTAAAATGTTATTTTAAGCGAATAACCCTTAAAGGAACATAAAAAAACCCTTACCGCTTTTCATATCATTCATCAAATCCTCCAATTGGGTTAGGACTTTATGTAGAACTGTGTAGGCATTTTTGTCACCCTTCAGAGCATCACGCGACAGAGATTCATGTGCTGTTGCCAAGCATTCCAAATCAGCAAATCTTTCGCTTAACTGGCCTAAAATAATTTAATAAAATTTTTAAAAAGATAAAAAATGTTAATTTTCCGTTATAATCCCACAAATCTTTAGCTGCACTTTAGCTGATTTTGGTGTTATCGAATGAGCTATCATTTATATATTCGAATTTTTTACCACAAACATTTACTCCAAAAATAAGCATATGGGTTCTAAATTTTCTCGGATCTACATATATCTCGATCAACAGGAATTTCCAATAATAAAAAGTGACACCATTCGACTATTGTCAGACCGATGATACGAATCAAAAGATAATAAATCGAGTGACCTTGGAACCGGCCACTGGCTAATTTACAGCCAAAGAATTTGTGGACATATATAACGGAAAAGTACCAAAAAATTACAAAAATAAAAAAAATGAGAATATTTACCAGAATTATCTGCTACCGATTGGCTTGCCAAAACAGGATCCTGTCCAATAGCTATTGCCTTCTCTGCTGCATCTTTTTGCATATGTTGTTCTTCAGTTTTTTGAGTTATTTGTAAATATGCTGCACGACGTAATTGTTCTTCTATTATTAAAGCTTGTTCGACTAACTGAAAAATATTTAATTTAAAAAAAAATCAACTAATTTTCTTTTAAAATTTTTCTTCAAATTTCACTACGAATATTTAATTTCAAAAAATTAAAAAAAACCTTATAACGTCTTTGCAAAAACTTGTTTTTATATTCGGCAAAATTTCCTCCTTTAGATTGTTCTAATTTGAAAGGTTCATTAATTATTGAAAATCGGTTGTCGTTTTGAATATCTTGATAACGACCATAGCCATGCCTAATTTAAAAAATTAATTTCTGACAAATAAACAACAAATATTACATAACAATTCCACAAAGTAACCAATAATCATGTCGTCGATTCCAAATTTCATATTCTTTTCCCGGAACAGCAACATTTTCTTCATTAAGCCAGAGAGTGTGGAGTTCAGTAAAACCACCATCAGCAATATTGAACATAATTTTTGGACGTGGTTCTTTGGATTTTTGTTCGGTCTGTAAAGAGAAGTGTTGAATAAAGGGAAAGGATTTTGTTTTAATAAATTTTTTGAATTTTTTAAAATTTCAAAATATAAATCAATTTTCAAACAAATAAAGAAAACCTCTTCATCATTCTTCTTTTCCTCATCTTTATCAGCATCAGCTTTTTTAGGTGAAGAATCTGCCGCTGCAGTCTGAGTATCTCCTCCAGTAAGTTCAGCTGCTGCATCAATCATTTCAACTTCTTGAGGTTCGGCATTCTTTTTTAGATCATCCTTAATTGTTTTATTTATATTCAAAATATTTTTTTGAAATACTATAGCTGGAGTTAGATCTCGACTAGCATCACTATGCACACTTAATTCTTTCTCCTTGCGTTGTACAGTCAAATGATCTTTATCTTTTTCCCGTTCTTTATTTGCAGCCTCAGCAGCAGCCAACATTTGGGTTTGAACCTTAGAAATATATTTTAAAAACTTTTTAAAATTCAAAAAACCTCAGGTATAGACCATTCACCATTAACAGCTTCAAATTCCTGAACCTTTTTGCGTATTAGTGACATGATACCAATTCGAGTTAAAACTTGCACACGATTCAAGCCTTCACGTGGGACGCCATCATTAAAACACTCCTTAAAACAAAAACAAGATATTACTATGTCATAATTTCATGGTCAAAAAAAACAATCAATGACTGAAAGATTCTTCTTTAATTTCTGTTGACTATTTTAAAAAATTAACTAAACGCCACCAAAAATTTTCAAATTTAATAATTTGTGGGGAGGCAGGAAAATCCCCTGTTAGAATAAAATTTTCAAAGTGTTAAAATTTCTCACCTGAGAATCAGCTCCAGGCTCACAAAGATGCCGCATAAACAAAGAAGTATAAGCTTTAAAGGCCCTTTCAGATTTGCCTTTAAGATCACGAACTAGCCACTGTGATTGATAGGCATCATGAGGCGGCATTCCCCATCGCATTACTGCATTAAAGAAAGCTCTTCGTTGTCTTGGATTGAAGCCAAGAACTTCCAATTGTCCATTTACACGTGCCAATAAAGGAGGTAATTTTTCACCGTCGCGTTCACGTTTTCGCCGACGCTCTTCTCTAGCAGAATCAAAATCGTCTTCTCCACTTCCAGAACCGTCATGGTCAGAAACACCAGAAAACGAGTCTGAATAGTCTTGATCTCCTCCCGCAGGTGTTCCAGCTGATCCTGGCTGCCATTCTTGTTGTATTGCTTCTGTTGCATAATTAACTTGTTTGCGAACTCTTTTTCCTTTTCCGAGATGAGCTCTTTCAAGTTCCTGTTCTTGCTCAAAGTGATGTCTTAATAACTTCTCCCAATAGTCTGGATCAGCTTCTTGTACTGCTTCTTTAATTACTTCCGTTTCGTCTTCTTCTTCAGGCTCATCCTCCTTTGTTATATATGTTGCTACTTTGAACGAACTCAAATAATCGTTTGCCCAATCTTTTCTTTCGGGTTCGTCTGGTGCAGCTGCAGCAACTTCTTTTGTTTCATCCTCTGCTCGTTCAAGAAGTTTATCGACAGCATCATCATCCCAAACAATATTTTGCTCTGTTGATTTTCCTGCTCCGTCGCCTTGTTGTGCTTCTTCATCTTTGAATAATTCTTCAGTTCCCCAACGAAGAACATCATCCAACTCTGTCTTTGACATTGAAGGGCCTTTTTGACCTATTCCAGCACGAACAACAAGGTGGGTGAGCTAAAGATTATTTCTTGTAAGCTTTTAAAAATTAAAAAATTCAAACCATCATTTTCTTTTTTGCAACAGATGTTATACGTTCCTCCACAGAGTTGCGAGTTACAAACCGGTAAATCATTACTTTACGCTGCTGGCCAATTCGATGAGCTCTGCTAAATGCCTGAAATATTTGCGAAAATGGATCTATTATTTTAATAACTAAAAATTAACCTGAATGTCGTTGTGTGGATTCCAATCCGAATCATAAATAACCACAGTATCTGCAGTTGCCAAATTAATTCCTAAACCTCCAGCACGTGTTGATAAAAGAAAAACAAATTGTTGTGCACCAGCAGCATTAAAACGGTCAATAGCATCTTGACGACTTTGCCCGGTGATTGAACCATCAATTCTCTCATATTTATAACCAAGAAAATCCATCATATCTTCGAGAATGTCCAACTAAATTTTAAAAATAAATAATATTCAAAAAATGTTAAAAACCATTTTTGTCATTTGAGAAAAGATGAGTACACGATGTCCTTGTTCCTTCAAACGCTTCAACATTTTTTGTAAAAGAACAAATTTTCCACTATTTTTGATGAGTGCTTCTCCTTCATAAGCGCCAGTTGGACGTTTCGGTGCTTCTGAAAAAGAATTAAAATTAATGTTAGAAATTATGATAAAAATCAAACCAATTGATGCCTTCGGGAAAAGATATGGATGATTTGCACATTTTTTCAATTCCATCTAAAATGAGAATATTTCTAAAAAGAAAGATTTTTGCTAGATTTTATTTGTCTTAATTCTATTCATAAATAAAAAATATTAACTTCACATTGTCGTTAAAGATAAACCCTCACTGACAATTATAATATAAAGTTTGCAATTAACCATGATAAAACGAGAAATCAAACTTACAATGATGTTCAACAGTGACATTTGTGACCGTCCATTTTTAATGCTGAGGGCCTCAAAGTTCTTTGTAAGAATGTGTCGATAATATTTCCTGTTAGAAAAAATAAAATCAAAATAATCAAAAAAAATTTCTCACTTTTGTAAAGGACTTAATTCAACACGAACAATTAATTCGCTTTTTGAAGGCATTCCAGTAAGGACATCAGCTTTGAGACGTCGTAACATATGTGGACCGAGAAGTTGATGTAAACGTTGAATTTGGTCTTCTTTTGAAATTTCAGCAAATTCATGAGTAAAGGATTCCAAATCACTAAATTTCAAGAAAAATTTGAAAAATTAATATTTTAACATAAGTTAAACACAAAGGATTAAAATTTGAATAAAATTAGAAATAAAAATCTAAATCTAGGTAAACGGACTATTTCAAAAATCACTGGTATTAATCAAGAAAATAAATTTAAAAAACTAACTAGAATCGATCAGGGCTCAAAAAATTTAATAAATGGAACAATTCTTCCAAATTATTTTGTAGTGGAGTCCCTGTAAGCAAAAGACGATATCCAATATTAAACTCTCGAAGTGTTCTAAAGAACAATGATTGATTGTTTTTGAGACGATGGGCTTCATCCACAACAAGAACAGCCCAATCAATACTTGAGAGTATTGCTTTGTCAATATTTATTAACTGAAAAATCGAGGGAACGATAAAAATATTTAAAAGCAAAATAATTAACACCTCATAAGAAGTCAATAAAACATGGAATTTAATGCCTTGGTCTGTCCTCATCCTTCCAGCTTTTGTCCCGCCTCTTGTGGCCCCTTCAACAAAAGAGAATTCATGCTCCCTAAAAAAAGATTTTTAATTCTTTTAATTTTTAAATAAAGAAAAACCTTATAACAGTTCGACTGTCCTTGTCTCCAATATAAGTAACAACATAAAGATCAGGAGACCAAAATTCAGCTTCACGTTCCCAATTGATTAATGTAGAGAGAGGAGCTGATACAAGAAATGGCCCTTTGCTATGTCCTTCTTTGACAAGTGAATAAAGAAAAACCATCGACTGAAATTTTTTAATAAATTTTAAAAATTAACAAAAAATAAACATTTTAAGGGAAATAAAATTAAGACAAATAATCCAAAAAATAATAATTTTAATTTAAAACAAACCTGAATTGTTTTTCCCAACCCCATTTCATCAGCCAAAATTGCATCTATTCCATTTGACCAACAATGACGAAGCCAATTAATTCCTTCCATTTGATAGGCATGAAGATTGCCTCCTGTTTCGTTTACATATTCTGGCTGAGCTTCGTATTTCTTTTTTATCTTAAAAAGATTTTTTATTCAATTTAAACCAAAATATTTTAAGATTTTCTTACAAGAGACCAAAATTTAAAATAAATTACTTACATCGGTGCTCGGTTTATTTTCCCGCTTTTTACGCTTCTTCTCTTCATCTTCAAATGGAGGCAATCCTTGTTCAGCCCTTCTTTTATTTAATCTCTTTAAAATATATTTAGGCATTGTTTCCCCACTCATTCGTTCACTTAAAAATTATTTAAATTAATTTTTAAAAATTAAAACAAAATTACCGATGCACCCAATAGCGAAATATTGCATCTTCATACCCAGGAATATCAAAATCATCACGTTCCCATGTTGCTTGATCATATACCAATTCACGCCATTTAACCAAATAGTCGTATTGATTCTTCTCATAAGCCATGTGGTTAATTATGCGATGAACCTTAAAAAAGTTTATTTTTAAAAGAATTTTAAAAAATTTAGATGATGGAGCTGGTCCCTTCTTTTATTTTTTAAGTATATTAACCTGCATCCATTCAGGTTTGATTCCATAACGATAAAATTTCTGTTCCATATTATGCGGATCATCTTCCTAAACATATTAATTAAACATTAAAAATTTAATATAAAAACCTTTTCTTTATCATCTATTCTACCAGTTCGCATATCTTCAGTAGAGCCATCATCAACTTCAGGAGGGACTTCAGGATCCATTTTTCGCCAATACATACGTAGAGTTTGGGTGAAATGTAGTTCCAAAACTAATTCTTGAATCCATTCACAATGCCTAAAAAACAAATTTTTAAATGATTTTTTAAAATGATAAGAAAATACAGAAAACAATTGTCTACAGAATCACGGTTTGCCATGAATGCGGTTTGGTATAAATGCCAAAAATGGATGGGTCAAGAAGCTGTCTTAACAACAGGAATGGAAAAAATTCGAATAACATATAATTTGACACATTTTCGTCCTGTTTAGTATTCCTGAATTTTTCCGAAACGACATGTAGTCGTAAGCTTTCTTGTGCTCACAATCAAACGATAAGTAGAAACCCAATCCTTACCCAGAATCACCATTCTAAAAATAATTTAGAATATCAAAGTAAATACCAATAGCTCATATATTTCCATTTGACGAAAAATTCGCGCTCACGACGAGGCTTCATCTCTTTTTGAGGTCTTAAGAAACTAATCTTTCGTCGTTCAGGATCGTCGATATTCGCAGCATTTTCTCCTTCTTTAAGACGATCTTCTTCGGGTAACGGCTCTGGGTAAGCATATTCAATCCAACGCCAACTCAGCAATTTTTCAGGACGATTTTTTGGTTCAACACACTAAAATAATGTAGAAATAGACTATTGAACTAAAACATAAATTGTGAAAAAACGAAACCTGACAACGCGGACATATCCAATCTTCATGCTCATTTGGCAATTCTTTCAGTGGAGGTGACAAACAATAAGCATGGTACGAGCTTGGGCAGCGTTCACAAGTCAATAGAAAATCGCGTTCCTAAATATTTAAAGTCAAATAAAATTTAAAAATCCAAAAAACTCACAGAACAAACTCTACAAGTATCCATATTCCCTGGAGTCGCATCCGCTGCTGCCTCATCTCTTGAAGGAGGTCCATTTTGCTCACAATGTGGACAAGACCAGAATCCTTCTGGAGGTTCCTCCAAGTCTTGATCATAGCAGACCAAGTGGTAAGCACGTGGGCAAGTGTCACAAAGGATTATTTCACCTCCTTGTTGACATACTTCACAATAATCTTGGTGTTCTTGCTGAAGATTCATTTTTTATTAAAAAATTCTAAAATTGAAAGATCAGGCTCTATATGAAATGAGTAACGAGATCGCATTTTCCCTTACTTTCACATATGGTCATTTTTCCTTAGTTTGTAATGTCTGTTGATTTTAGCCAAAAGCCGAAAATGGAAAAAGGGGAAAAATGAATAAAATGGATACACAAAAATATCAAAGACAGTATTTCCCTTTTACTTATTTCACAGTGTGTGTACTCTTTTATTTGCAATAGGTTTACTTATTCCAGAAATTTTGTTGGGAAGGAATAAGGAACTTTATTCACCCAGTTAACGGATTTTAAAGTTTAAAATGTAGAGCTTGGTATTGATTCCATAGGGACTGATACTTTTTCCATTTTAGTTGAAATAAACAGAAGGTACCAAAAACAGAAGGTTCTTTTTGAGTAACTAAATCTACAACGAAATCGAAAAAAATCAATTCATTTTCAAAAATCGATCCAAAAATCGATCCTTTTGGCCAATTCGAGTCGGTCCAAGTCCCGTCACACATTTCATATAGAGTCAAAAAACCTGTGGATTATCTCCATCTTCCCCTCCTTCGCCTTCCTCCTTTCGCCGTTTAACTTTTTGTTTCGATTCTTTAGCCTTCCTAGCTGCGGCACGTTCTTTTTTTCGTTCCTCCTTTGCTCTTTCCTCCTCATCCAATTGCCGTTCATGTTCTTTTAGAAGAGATTCAAATTCTTGATCAGAGTTAACTGAAAATTCAGAAAAGTAAAAACATTTCTAAAAATCAAAATCACTCACGTTCTTCTTCAGAATCGTCATTTCTTCGCTTCTTTCTCGTTGAAAGGCGAATTTTCAAAGGAGCAACCTTCTCAACTTTATCAAATTGTCCAGAAGAACCAGCACCAGATGAAGTTGGTTGCAAATCCTTAGAAGATGCTGGAGTTGAAGTAGATCCAGGAATTCGGCCAACTTTCTTACTAGCTAATTGTCTACCACGTCCAGTTAGCATGTTCTGAAAATTTAAATATAATTTAAATACAGGATTTAATTATTCCTGAATTTTATAGTTACAACAAATTTTAATCTTGGGTTTATTAAATAGGACACCCGGTCACAAAAATATTTAATACCCTCCTTGCGATTCCACATTGTGGGTTCCTCGAAAAACAAGTCACCTAATAAACTTTTCGGCTATATCTGATTTGTAAGACCAAGCTAAATTTCTACAATTTTCAGCGCTGCAGGCGACAACTTAGGGGATTGTAGGTGAAAAAATTGGCAATCCAGGAGAATTGGGGTCCCAGCGGGAAAAAATCTTAAAAATAAGAAAAATGATTTTTCTAGGGTAAAAAAGTACGCTGATTACGAATCTGAACTCAGATTTTGAAAAAGTCGAATCCGAACCCGAATATAGGTCCTCGAATATCGAAAACCCATAGGGGGGACCAAGCTGATTTGGGGTGAAAAATTCGAATATGCAAATTATACCTCATTCGAAAGAGCTCTTCAAGCTGAGTCGAATGACACCGAAATTACCGTGATTGAACAAGATCGGACGAAGTTATACCACAAAAAACAAACAACGTAGGCCTATGTTTTTTGTGTAATATCTTCGCCTGATCTTGATCAATTGCAATGATTTTGATGTCATTCGACTCAGCTCGTCTAGCTCTTTCGAATGAGATATTATTTGACCAATTTACGCTCTGTTTATTTTTCGAAATTTATCCCAAAATGTCAAATATCCGAATTTCGGGTTCGGGACTCCTTTCAGATAGGGCCAACTTTTCAGATTAATCAAAATTCATTGACCTGGTACTCGTTGTATTTCGCCACCATTACAGCATTAATACGTGCCCAACTCGCTGTTGGATTCATATCTTGGAATTGTTGTCGATAGCGAGCATTGAAGGACTGAAAATCAAAAATTATTTAAAATTCAAAACTCCCTTAAAAACCTTTCCAGACGAAATACTTTCAAAGTCCTCCTCATTATATTCAAATTGTACATCAATTAGCCCGAGCATTTGACACAAATCGGCGCTGCTGTTTGCATGAGGGTCTGGAACTTGTTCTCGGTTAGGCCCCAAATTTTTCTTTTTAGTTTTCCGTCCCCTCTTTTTGTGGCCTTTCTTTGAGTGGTGATGTGAAGAAGAAGAGGCAAACTCTTTAAAAACAATTTTTTAATTTTAACTCGACCAAAAAATATTTTTAAACGAAATTACCAGCTTCTCCAAAAGCAGATTCCCCCATTCCTTCCATTCCATAATTTCCACCTTCAAAGCCTTCCTCCTCTTCGTCTTCTTCCTCTTCTTGCATAGAATCAGCTTGCGCTTCGTCTACATTTTGTTGTCCTGTTGTATCCAAATGGTCGTCGTCGGAAGACATTTTTTAATATTTAATTGGAATGAATCAAAGAATATTATCTGCAAAAATAATTAAAATAAATGTACAGATTATTTTAAATCCGTTCTCGTCCAATACAGACACATAAAAATCAGTTTTTCAACACAAATAGCAAATGTACAAATAAGTATAAGTGAGTGAGAGTATATATCCCCATGTTTTGTTCCTTCATTTTTTGCCCACAAATTTACGAAGGTCCAACTTCTCAAGGTCCAACCCGCAATCATTTTTAGAAAAAATTTTTTTAATTTTTATATGTAAGCTCGAGACTTAAATCCCAAAAGTTATTAAAAATGGTAAAAAATTGTTTTTGGAAAGTTCTTTAAAGATTTATCAAAGTCGCGTTTTGAATGTGAAATGAGCGTGGACGCCATTTTTCTACACACAAATATACAAATATACAAATGAATAAGTATGTATGAGTGTATATTGAAGCTCAAAAGAAATTTTAATCAATAATCCATTAATTTTAATATCTTCTATAATATCTTTGTTTCGTTTCCAGACTCTAATGAACAATTTATTGACCTTCTCTCATTACTTTAAAAATACGGTATTGCAGTACTTTAGTTACTGTATTATGTAAAATAAAAATTCTCTCTCTCTCTCTCATTGTCAAAGTCTTATTAACATTTTTTTAAATCCAGTCAAAATAAAAATTGCTATCAATTATCAAGTTTGTGTTAAAATAGATATTTTATATTTTAAAATAAATTTAATCAATGCTAGATACTGGGCATTTGTTGGCTCCATCTCGGGGTTTTCATAATCCTAGCTCCAGCTCCGGAGCTAGCTCCTTTAGCCATACCCAGCATCTCTCTTCTCTCAATTAATTAAATATTGAGTATACCCAAATCTGAAAATACAAAATATTTTAGTCAGAAAAGGAGGTTAATAATTAATAACCGTCATGAAATCGTGTATCTTCTTCGAAACGTGAGTAACCACGTCTATAGTTTAAATCATCGTGATCTAGTTTTGTAAATATATTTTTGTTTAATAATTAATTAAAATTTTAATTTTTAATTTTTAAATATTCTGATTTATTCAAAATATAAATATTCAGAAAGGTTGGAAAAACATTTTTATTGGAAATTCTGATTTTACTTAAAGTTTAACAATTACCTCCTTTATGTTTTTCATTTCTTTTATTAATGTTTTGTGTATGCCCTTCAGGCAAATCTTTATTTATTTTTAAACTTGATTGTTGATGAACAAAAAATGTTAGGAATATTAATAAAAATAATATTTTTTGGGGTTTTAAGGGGAGAATACTCATTTTCACAAAAATTCTTTAATTAAAATTTTTTGATTTGACTGGGTGATCTTTAAGAGAAAAAAACATTCACGAATCGATTAACAATATTAATCAACAACAAATTTTGTTAAGATTAATTTGAAAAATAATACATATTTAGTTTGAAATAAAATGTTTGTAATTTTTTTGAAATTTATTGGTAGAAGTTGCGAGTAATTTTAAGAGAAATAGGACCAAAGTGTTTAGAAAAATATTTTACCCCCTAATGTAAAAGACCTATTAGGTATTTAAATGAGTAGATATGCGCTCTAACTTTATATTTTCTAGTCGTTAAATTTTTAATTAAAATTATAGAAATTAGTATTTCGTTATTTCAACGCTATTTCAAATTACGTTAAAAATTTATTGCTCTCAAAGGGTATCTTTTGATTTTAAACATCTAAAATTAACTATCTACTTATGCAAGTAAAATAAACCATTTATACAACATAAAATACAAAGAAAAATTAACAAAAGGCAATAATACATACATACAATCTCATACAATTAAAAACACAATACAAATAATCACAACAAAACAAAATTACATCATTCCAGGTCCTAGGATTTCAAAAAAGAACGGTTCTTTAGAGCCAAGTTGGAAGCACACATACAATATCCCGCTGTCCCTCGGATCATCTACTCCATCTAATTTGTACTCAGCAACTTTGCAAAATTCTTCAACATCCTCTCCGATAAAATGACGTTCTTCATCTTTTATCATTTCGCCGCGCATGTTCCAGTCAGGATATTGGTAATAGAAGCCTTTAGATCCATGAATAACCACATGATGGTACATAAATTGATATCCTTTAGGGAAATATTCCCCTTCTTCATCATAAAGATAGAAACAGTTTGTGTGGAATTTCAACGGAGAATCGCCAAAAAATAATTGAAAAATTTCCGGATTGATATATCCTTGCTCGATTTTGAAGTTTTCAATGAAGCAATTTGAAAGTTTTTCCAACCAGTAACGAAATACAAGCATTTCTTCTATTGTTTCTGGGTATTGGTGTAATTTTAATCGAAGAAATTTAGGCGATTGTCCACCTAAAAATTAAATAAAAAATTTTTAAAAAGTCGAGAGAAGCTTCAAAAACTCACCAGATTCTTTCGGTACCAAAAACAAATAGGCAACTTCATTCATTCCATAATCATCAAGTGCCACATCAAATTTTTTCCGAGGAGAGTAGCTGGTGAAGTAGAAGTAAAGTGGAATCCGTTCTTGAATTGCTGCTTTCCACTGAAAAAGAAAATTATCAAATTTGTAATTAAGGGAACATTCAATTTACCTTTAATTTAGTCTCCTCACTTAGCTCCAAGTCCAATTCATTAGGTCCACCATACTCCACCAAATCCTGACAAACATCTGTAAAAACATTAATTTTTATTAACTAACAATCAGAAAAAACCTACAATTTTTCCAAACAATCAACTCAACAGAATAAAACACTTTTATTGTAGCCAATTCTTTGTTGTATTTGACGATCACTTCAGAAAAACGGCGATTTGATAATTGGCAGTTGTTTATTTGGTTGAAGTTGAGGCATTTGAGGATATCAAGGTTTGTTTCAGCGGGTAGAAGATTCATTGTTGTTTGTGGAGCGGATGAAGAGAAGTTATTTACTAATAAAACTTTAGACTTTTATACTATATTTTCATAAGCTTGTTTGTTCTTGGATTTGTTAATTCGGTGACTTCTCTCATCGGAAGAATGAGATAAAGTACGTATACACTGCGGTGTAAAAGATTCTCACTTTTCTTTAGAAACTTTAATCACAGATATGGGAGGTGTAAGAGTCGTTTTGATCGTACGTGTACTTGGCCTGTCTTATTTTCTCGTATTCACTCGTACAGCCATTCTTTACCTCGTACAGCACTTGACTATATTTCTGTTCCTACTCGTACTTCTAATTCCACTTTATTAATCAAACAAAATTTTAATTTATTTAAAATTTAATTTATTTTTTCCCTTGATGATATTACTACATATATGTATTATTCTTCATTTTGAAAAAAGAAACAGATTTTTAATTTACTGAAGAAAATATTTATGAAAAAAATTTTTCGAACTCGGATAAATTAAAAAATAAACGAACATTGAAAAACAAAAGGTAAAAACAGATTGCTTTTAATTTTTCAAAAATAACTGATTTTTTTTAATTTTTACAAAATTCTGATCTATCCAAAGTTTAATTAATTATTAAAAAAAGGATTTTATTTTTTCTTTGATTTTATCTTCTACATATAATAAAAAGTACAATAAACTTGTTTGAGTATATTTTCCTTAAACAACTTCTTCAGGATATTTTTTATTATAAGAAAAAAAGCTTAATGTAAATATAAGAACATTAATTTCTAGTTTTTATTTATCTTCAGTAATAATCTCTAATTTTTTACTCATCCAAATTATTATAAAATGGAAAAATAAAATTAGAATTTTTTAAAATATTTTACTAAAAAATAATTATTTTAGAAGAAATGTCCTCCTCCTCCCCCTCTTTACCCAAAGGGACAATAACAGCAGCTACAACATTCTCTTTAATCTCTTTTCTGGCTTTACTCATAGGTGTTCCTCTACTTATTAATGATTTAAATGAACTTGAAAATTTAATGGCACATCAAAAACAAATTTATATGGATATGGTGAGGAGAAAAAAATTGAAAAAAATATTTTTATATTAATTGTGTTTCTATTTGTTTTTAAAATAATATAATTAGGAGATGGGATATCCTCCCATTTTCTTTTATCTTCAACCATTTTAAAATTAATCCGGGAAATACAATAATCAATTGATAATTAGAATCATCCAGAAATAAATTCAAATTTCCAGAAATGTTTAAAAGAATTTCTGGCATTTAATGACGAGGAACAATTTTATATTGTGAAGGATAGCTTTTAATTCCACCTTAATTTCAGAGAGATAATATGTGGAAAGAAGTTATGAATCAGAAGGAAACTGTACGTAAACAACGTTCTGCTGATTATGAACAAATACGAATTCGTCGACAATGTTAATTAAAGATTAAATATGTAAAATTAGAAACTCTTTAGATGATTCTGCCGTAAAGGGAGGGTCGTCTCAATCTAGCCAATGCCCAGCAGGTCCTAAAGGTCCACCCGGATTTAAAGGCCAGCCTGGTAAACTAAAAATTAATTAATTAATGGAAAAAAGAATTTAATAGGATTGGATGGTGAACCTGGAGCCGCAGGTTTGCCCGGAGGCGGTGCTGGTGCAGGTGGTGCTGGTGCTGAAGGAGGGTATGGACAAGCTGCACCAGTTGCCCAAACTTGTGGGAAATGGTTAGTTAATTGTATTAAGTCTTCAAAAATAAATTATTTTTCAGCCCAGCGGGCCCACCAGGCCTTCCTGGATATAAAGGCAAACGTGGACCTCGTGGAGAAAAGGGAGCAAGAGGAACGCCTGGGTCACCTGGACGAGATGGCCATCCTGGTTTAATATAAAGTATTTTGAATTCCTTTACAATTTCTAAAGGCGATGAGGGACCCGAAGGAGAAATTGGACTACATGGAGATATTGGAGACTCGGGTCCTAAAGGTCCTCCTGGAGAAGATGGAATTGGCTACTCAAAAGGAGCACCCGGTCCAAAAGGCGAGCCTGGAGTGCCTGGAATGGTTGGAGATGAAGGACCTCCAGGAGATAGAGGAGATGATGCACCGCCTGGTAATGAATAAATAAATATTAATATAATTTATATTCATTTTTAAGGTCCTCAAGGCGAAATTGGACCAGCAGGATCGCCTGGTGAGGGAGGCAAAGATGGGCATCCTGGAACAAACGGAAATGGAGGGTCGCCAGGTTTTTCTTCTGAGTGGGGAATTTTCAAATTTAATTATATTTAGGTGCTGATGCTGAATATTGCCCTTGTCCTGCACGTTCAAACGGTCAAAGTCCGGGAAAGGGGCAATATGACACCCAACCAGCTCCACAAAGCGCAGGAGCAACCGTTGGTATGTTCCTTCATTTAAATTTAATTCTCTAATTAAATTTCTTTTTAAGCCGCTCCAGCTCAGTCCCCGGCACAAACTGTATCTTCTTATTCAAACACGCGTCGCCTCGCGACATATAGCAAACTTGCTCATGCTGCTGCTTTGCGCCGAAGACATCTTCAATGAGAATAGAAAGAATAAAATAATTAATTAAATAGAACGAGAAAAATAATACTTAGAAAATATGTAAAATTATTAGTTAAATATTCATGAAGATACATGAATAAAGACTATGCTTTGATAAGCGAATTCTGATTATAACAGTATTTTTACTGCTAGCAAATTCTGATTTTATATTTTTATATAAACAATTAATTTGTTTCAGAATTTAAATTTTATATTTGTTCTTGAGGTTGTTTTTGTACTGCTAGCGTGAGCTTTGGTGAGTGGGATCTGGGAGAACGATGGTGGGCGCGACTGTAGTAGTAGCTAGGAAAGAGCATGCCTAGCTTGCGAACAATGTTGTACTAAAAATTAAAAGAAATATTTCCCAAGCATTTTAATAAAAAATTTTGCCTGATCGGGAATTTCAAGCAGGGAGTTGATAGCAAAAGACAATTCTTTGGAAGAGGATTGTTGATTCATATTTTCATCAGTGAAGAGTGAATGAAATTCAACAAAGTGAAAATTGTCCCAGGGTCGTTTTGGCAAGGACTCATCGAAGACCTTAAAAGTATAAACGGAAACTAAATTTAAGATTTTTCCTGAGGGATGCTTATTTGAAATTCTGATTTTTGGAATATTAAAAAATAGATTTTGCAAGTTCAGAAGTTTGTATAGAATTCTGATTTTCAGAACGTCTTCCTATAATATTTTTATTTTTCGTATGTTCAAAATTCTGGTTTTAGATAAATCTTAATTTTTCTTGAAGATGTTTTTCTAGTAGTTTCATTTCAGAATTATGCCTTTATTAAATTCTGATTTTTAAGAAATGTTCTGATTTCGCCCGAGTATTCCCACCTTCATCATATCCCATGGTCCATCCCCAACACCGACAACAATTATTGACAAAGGATATTGACAGGCAGCAACAATAGCTTTACGTGTTGCCCTTTCATTAGTTACTTGCCCATCAGCAATAATTACAAGAATGTGGTACTTAAAATTAATTTAAATATTTTTTAAAAAATTATTTTCTTTCTAACATCCTTCCTCGCATAACAAATTTCCATTGAGCGATATATTAATGGAGCAAAATTTGTAGGGCCACTGAGATCGACTTTTGGTGTTACTTGATTGTAGATTCTTTGAGAAGGAAAAATTAAAAATTATTATTTTTCCATAAATCACCTCAAAACATCATCCAAATCATTACATTCCCCCTCTGTAGTTCCATTCAAAGAAAATACAGACCAATCCCCAGTACTAGCATCTCCAAATCCAAAAGCGGGAATTCCATATTGTGTACCGGCAAAAGGGGCCAATGTCCTCCCCATTATTTTTATAACCTTTAAAATATTTTAAAAATTTTCTAAATTAATTTATATACTTGTTGGTAAGGATTTTCAATTCCTTTTTCATCCACAGAATGGAGTGAACGTCCATTAAATGACCTTTCACCTTGATATTTATTACTTGCTGTGTAGTCAATCCCTTTAATATTTATTTTTACATAAAGAAAATTCTGATTTTTTTCAGAAATGTTTTTTTTCAGAAATTCTGATTTTTCTAAAAACATTATTCACCAAATATCAAATTTGATGATTCCAACCCAGCTTTACGCATAGCTTCTGATAATGCTTCCAAACTCTGTAATTTTAACAGCATTTCTTGTGTGCTTGTAACACCAACAACACTCAATAATGAACTTTGTCTAATTGACTAAATTAAAAATTTAAATTTAATTTTTATTTAAAAATTTCTGATTTTTTTTCTAAATTTTTTGTCAACAATCCCATTTCACTCTAAGAGAACTAAGTAAAAGTGTTTTCTCTTTATTTATTTACTGAAAATCGAAGAGTTGTCACCGTTGTATCTAGCGATGAAGTTGAATCATCAGTGAAAGTACTTCTTAAAAGAAATTGTGGTGCCTGGGGATTTTGTTTTTGATCTGGATATATTTGTTGTTTTTGTTGTTGATATTCTGGTGGGTGTGGGGGTAAAACAATTATTTGTTCGTTTTGTTTATTTAATTGTGTGTTTTGATTGAATATTTGTTGTTGATGTTTCTATTATTTAAATTATGTTTAAAACATCTAAATATGTTTTGTTTAAATCAATGTTTTGTTAAAAATAAGTGTTTGTATTTTTTATTTGTTTGTAAAAACATTTTTAAATTGTAAATAAAACAAGCTTTTTAATTATTAATCCCCTCTTAACAAAATGTTTTGAAACTTTTTTTGGTAATTCTGATTTATTTTTGCTTTGATTATTCGAATTATTTTAATTAATTTATTCTGAAACAAAAATATTATTTTTTACCTTCTCTTCTGTTTGCCCAACAAAATTCTTAGAATCTTCTTCTAACTAAAAATAAATATTTTGACTAAAATAATTTATTTTAAATTCTCTACTTTTTGTTGTTTCAATATTTCAGCCATTTCATTATCTTCAAAATGTAAAGAAGTTCTTGGAGGTTTTGGAGGGGGAATTTGTGGTTGTTGTGGCTCAGACAGTTGCCTTTTTAATTCTAAATTCGTTGTTGTAACCCCTCCTCCTCCTCCCAATTCTTGATGTTCAGAGAAATTTTCATCAACCAAATTTAAAGAATCTGCTTGGCTTAATTGGTCTGGTGGTATCTTTAATTATTTTTTTAATTAAAAATATTAATTTTTAATTTCCCTACTTCCATTGATTGTATTTCAGGTGCGTGAGTAACATCATCATCTCCGTCTTCAAAAAGAAGTATTGGGTCGGGTTTATCAAAAACTTCATTTGTAACTATTTGTTTACTAGTCCCATCAGCACCTGGAGTTGAACCACCAGCTGATTCAGCCAATAATCCTTGTGGGGATGAAGGACTTAGGACTGCCATTGCTGTTTTGTTTTTGTCTATGTCAGTCAATTCCTTTAAATGTTTACAAATAAAGCAATGTTTTGAAGGGAAAACAAAAATGTTTTCCATTAAATATTTTCCGGAAAGATTAAAATTAATATTTAAATTTAATTTCTTCCTCTAGAAAATTTCCAAAAAAACACCTTTGACGATTTTCTTCCAAAAACTGGAGTTCCTTTTTGTCTTGAATGTATTATTACAGGGGGACCCCCAGGAATTTCTTCACTCTCCAACATTTCTTCTTCCATAACAAATTCCCCTGATTGTCTTAATGATATCCTTTTTTGTTGTTTTTGTTGTTGCTAATTAATTTAGAAATTTAAAAAAAAGTTATTAACAAATACTTGTTCTCTCAAAGGTAAATGACCTTCTTGTTGTTGCATATAATCTATTGCTTCTTGTAACAGGGATTCTGCTGTTTGTTGTTTAATAGGCGATGTTGGGGGTTTTGTTTGTGGAGATTGTTGTAAGTAAGTTGAAGCAACTTGAGATTGAGAAGAAGGAAAAACAACTAAAAAGAATGTTTAGAGATAAATCAGAAATAATGTTTTCCGGAATCAGAACTAGTGTTTTCTCAGAAATACTCAATTAATATTTAAAATAAAATCAGAAATTGTATTTTTTGTATTAAAATCAGAATAAACAAATAAACAAATAATTTTCTGGAATTATCAGAATTTACTAACCCGTCGCCAATTTTTGTTGTTCTAAACTTTGTTCTGATTGCTGTTTTTGTTGTTGGATGTTTAGATTAATTTCTGCTGTTTCAATTATTACAGTATCATCTGTTTGTGCTGTTTCTTTTTCAATTGGAGACTGAGGAAAGCTGATTATATCGAAGCCTAAAGAAGCTGGGGATTCTGGGATGGAAATTGAACCGCCGGGTGCTTTAATAAATTAATTAAAATTTATTTTTTAAAAGAAATTTTTTTCTGAAAAATCAGAATTTTATTTAAACAAATTTTACTTTGTTTAGCTGATTCTGGTAAAGAAATAATTTCCTCTTCCCTCGTTGTTTTTATTTTTTTAGAATGTTTTTGTCGTTCTTCCTCAACCTGTTTATGTTTTTCTAACTCGATTGTTGCAGTTGTTGGGGTTTCATATTCTTGCAGTAATGCTGCTACTTGTTTTGCTTCCTCAGCATTTAGAGGATGGTGCTGCTAAAATAATTAAAACTTTTGAAATTATTAAAAATATTTAGTATTTTTGTATTTGAAATTAATTGGAAATAAATTCTATAAATTTTTCAGAATAATAAATATTATTTGTTTTCCGGAAAAAAGAATAAATAATTTCTGAAAGAATTAAAAGTTTTCCGGAATATTTTTATTCGAACATTTTGTTGCTGTTTTTGTTGTTCCTGAATTTTTGTTGTTTCCACTTTCTGATATTGTGTACTCCCTCTGGGCACAAATTCAATATCATCTGCAGTTGTACTCATTCCATCTCCATCCCCGTTATTAGAAAATAAAGAAATTCTGATATTTGTTTGTCCTTCCCTTCCCTCATCATATTCTTCTTCTTCATCTGTTGTTATACTTCCGCCACTTTGTGGAGATATTAATGGTTGTTGAAGAAGTAAATAAGGTTGGGGAGGAGGTTGTGAGGGAGGGGGAGAATGTTTAGATTGGTGTTGTTCTTGTGAGACTACTACAACTGATGCTGGACTTGTAGTAGTTAGTGGTGGGGGAAGTGGAGGAAAACAGGCATCTTCTTTAAAAATATTTTTTTATTAAATTATTTTTCCTAAATTCTTCAAAAGAAAAAAAATACCATTTTTAACTTTATTTTTAGTCCAAAATGAAATACAACGTAATAATAAAGCATCCCGTTTTTGTTTAATTTTACAAGTCATTTTTGTAAGGGAATAGAAATTTTTAAATAAATTTTAAAAGAAATATATTAAATAAAATTTAATTTTTGACGATTTTTTGTGTTAATTAAAAAATAAATAAAAAAAATATTTTATACATATATTTATCCACCTTAAACAATTTATTTTTGATTGGATGGCAGGGGAAAGCACGATGTGGTGACAATTGTGGAAAAATTCCTTTAATTTTTTCTTCTTTCCTAAATTTTCTCTCCTTTATCCCTCCAATCTTTTCTTAAAAACTTTTTTACGGTCATGGGAATATTTATAGGTTAGTGATTAATACTTTTATTTAATTTTATTTACTTCATCTAACTATTTAATTAATCCATAATTTATGTCATTTGACTAATTGCTTGGATTTTTTAGAGAATTTAAATTTAATGATTTATTAAAAGCTAAAATTAAATTAAGAAATAAATTAATTAAATTTGGTAATTTAATATTTTCGGAAATGATCAGAATTTATTTTTCCGAAAATTTAAATATTAAAAATAGATTACTGTATTTCCTAAAATGAAGCCCCAAGCTGGATTAGAAGCGCCACTTTGGAGGAGTTGAAAAATAGAGCCCCAAGGCGCTTTATTTTAGGTAAATACGTAATATATTTCGGAAAAGTTAAGAAAGAATTGTTTCAGGAAAATTAAAATTCTGGAATCAATATAAAAGAATTTTTAAGTTCAAAGGAAAATAAAAATAATAGAGGCTTTGCTTCAGGTTTCATAAGAGACAATTTTGAATGTTTAGTGAAAATATTTTAATTGAATATTTTAATAATTTTTTAAATTATTTTAATTAAAAAAAACTAGCCTTCACATCCAGGTAAACCAATTTTAACAAATTCATTATCATCGCTACTAGAAGAATCTTTCTTTAAAATAGGCCCACCACCTCCTCCTTCTTTTTCTGCTTCTTTTTGTTTATTTAATAATTCTTGTTGTTGCTGTTCAAGTTTTAACAAAGCTGTTGTGGATGAACGACGTCTTAATTCTCTAACAACAATTGAAGCAACGTGGGAATCTAATTGACGAGCCAAATGTTGTTGAATATCCTTAATTTGTATATAATTAGATAAATTGCTTCAAGTTTTTGGTTCTGCTTCAATTAAATTAATAGGTATTTAAAGTTGAAATATTCTGATATTTTTTGTTTCAAGTTTATAATGCTTCAATTTTAACTAATTTATCTTTTTGGTAAAATAAATGTTTTCTGGAGCTTCCGGAATTAAAACTTTCCCGGAAAAACTTAAGTTTCCGTTTAATTTATTTTGCTTCAGGTTTTAATTAATAAAACTTTTAAATGTTAATAATATGCTTCAAGTTTATCTGTCCAAAAATTTTGCTTAAAAAAACAATTTTAAAAAATTTAAAGGAAGGACTTGCGGAGCCCCAGTTTCTGCCAACCCTTCATCAATATCACTTCTATGTTTATCTTGTAAAACAGCTGTAACTGTTGCTGGATCAAAGCCTCCTTTGCCTATTTCGTCTAATTCTGTTAATAATTTTTGGGTTAATTGGTCAGCCATTCGACGATAATGTGCTGCAAGTTCTGGTAATTTTTGAATTAAAGGAACACCATCTTGGGGCTTTAAAGGAAAATATTTAAAATTAATTTTTTTTCTCCAAATTTTTACTGTGCTAGTTGGTGTTTTGCCAGGCTCTCCATATTGGGAAGATTTAATATTTAATTGACTAGAAAAATAAAAATAATTAATTAGAGTCTAATTACTCAATTGTTGTAGATTGTGCCCCCCTTTCTGTCTCCCTTTCTGGAATATCCCACATTAGAGGGACTGAGTTCATTTCGACTTGGCGTTCAAGTTTATGTTGAAAAGTTTGTTGAGGAATGCTTAAAATACAAAAATCAGAATTAAAAACAAAAAATAATTAAATTCTGATTTTTAAAAGAAAATATAATTAAAGAAAAATCAGAATTTTGAGAAAAATCGGAAAATCAGAAATTCTGAAAATATTTTCTGATATCCAGAAAAACCAGAATTTTTATTTAAAATTACTTTTTTTCCTTTTGTAAATTTTGATTTTCTTGTAAATTGTATGTGGAATCTCTTTCTTCATCAGGTAATAAATTGTCCTCATAAGTAAAACGTTCTTCTTGTGTTTTACCAAAAGGAGTGGAATAAATTGGGGATGGAATTTGTTGTTCTTGTTGGGGTTTCTAATTAAAAAATAATTAAATAAAGTTTTTAAATTTCTTGGACCTCCAAAACTGTTGCTGCAGTTTCTGTGGAGGTAGAAGCTATTGTTATTAAAGGAGCCATACTTTGTTGTTCTACACTTGTAGTGTCCTCAACTTGTTGTTGGGTTACTGTATTTTACAAAAATTAATTAAATTATTTAGAATAATCCGGAAATAAAAGTTTAACTTAACGAAAAGAATCCGGAAATTAAAAATAGAAAATCAGAATTTTGTTCAGAACACATTAAGAAAATACAATCAGAAAAACATTCTGGAAATATAATCCGGAAAAATCAGAATTTATTTACAACAAATTTATTTTCCCCTTACATTCTATAGGCTCTTGAGAAGCAGCACGGAAACGTTCCTGTTCAAGTTTATGTACCTCCGCCTTCCAGGCCATTAAAGCATTTATTTCTTCTGCACTCAATTTACGTTTTGAGCTGCTTTTCCTCTCAGTTCTGGCCTTTAATTAATTTTTATTTTTTCCCTCTATCAATTATTTATTCTCAACCTTTTGTTCAACTTCTTTACTAGCCATTTCCAAAATTGTTTCAGCAGAAAAATCTTCTTCCTCTTCAGACGGCAATTTTAATAATTTTTTCTTTTCAGTTTTCTCTTTCTACAAAAAAAATTTTTTTAATTTAAATCTTTTTAAAAACTTCGTCTTCGTCTTTTTCTCCATGATTTCGACGTTTATTTGCTTCTAAATACCAGAAGAAGAATGCTGCCAACAATAAAGTTCCTATGCCTATACAGGCACGGCTAAACATACTTAGCCCGAATAATACGACGACAGGCAAAGCCTTGTCGTCACTGCACTCTTCCCATTCACTAAAAAATTAAATCAGAATTTTTCAAAAAATCGGAAATTAAAAATCAGAATTTTTATTTATTTAAAATCAGAAAAACTATATAAACACTCTAGTATATACTTTCCGGAAAACACAAATTACCTAACCCCCAACTGTTACTTTAAATTAATTTCAAAAGTGAACACAAACATACTATAATTAATTATTAGTGTTCAAACAAAACAAAAAATTTTTAATAAATGTTTTAAAATCAATAGAAAAAATATTTTAAAAAATATTTAGTAATTAAAATAACACACTCTGGATCATAGCCAAGTTCTGGGGAATAGACCATTTGGAATTGATCCAAATAAATATTTAGAAGATAATAAATAACTAAAATTTTTATTTAATTAATTAAAATTTTATTAATTTTTTTTTAAATTTTTAATTGGGAAAAAGAGCAAAATAAAAACAAGGGCAGTTTAAAAATAATAATAAAAAATTTTTTGGATTGAGGTTAAAAAAGTAAAAATAGGTGGATGTATATAGTTGATTGAAGATGAGGAAATATACTTTTTTTTAGATCATGAGAAGGTAAAGAAATATTTTGAAGGAAAAAACATTATTTAAAAAAAGAAAGGTGATGAATTAAATATATATTTTTGGGGAAAAGTAAAGGAGAGAGGGATTTGTGTTTTTGATGTGTTTTTATTTGAAAAGAGGCTAACTTTAAAGAAAAAATAAAAGTAGTATTAAATTGCCCTTTTAATTAAACAAATTTTTACGATTTTTTTAAAAATTATTTTTGACCGTCCAATAAATTATTGGGTAAATTTTTGTAAAAAATAAATTTAAATTAGAATATAAGTTAAAAATAAAATTAGAATAATTAGTTAAAGGGATTTTAAAAACCTTAATAATCAAATGGTTGTTAAAACAAAATAATTTAATTTTGGGAAAAAATATTGAAAATATTTTTTATAAAAGTTATTCAATCAAAAATATTTTCAATAAGATCACACATACATAAATGTGTGCAAAAGTTTATGGATTAACAGAGATCAATATAAGTAAAGCAACCAGCCTTTTTATCCTCTCAAGTCCAAAGTAAACGAAGCAAAAAGAGGAGGGAGAGAGCTTAAAAGAAGCTAATAAATGTTGAAAGAAAAAAAACTTTAAAATTATTTGGGGGAAATGATATAAAAATTAAATTGTGATTGTAAATTATTAATTTAATTAATAAATTAAGGGAAATAATTGAAGAAAAATAAAAAAGAAGGGAGAGATTGATTGTCATAATTTTTATTAATTCTCCAAATTCTTTCCGGGAAGTTCTTTTTTATTTTTTTTCATTGTTCATATATATTACAATCAATTTAGAACCTCCCTTCCATTTTAATTCTTAAAATAGACAAAAATATTAAATCACATGCCGTCACATTTTTATTTATTTATCAGGTGCCCCCCAATCATTAACAAAATAAAAAAATCTTTTTTTTAATAATTTAATATTTTTGAAATAAAACAAAGCATTTAAGGAATGGGTAGTTGTTTAAAAGGAAAAAATTATTAATTAAGGAAAACCTGAAGAGTGTTTTAAAGTAAATTTGTAAAATTATTAAACTGAAAGAGCAATAAAATTATTTAAAAAAGTTGTACTTTCAAGTGTATTATATCAAATATACCTATGTAGTATATCCTCAAATTAATTCTTTTATTCTTTTAAAGAATTCGAAAAAAAACTCTTATTAATTATTTAATGTCAAAACAAAATGTTTATCAGGCACCCCAATGGATGGTTTCGTTATCTGATATCCAAATAAAATAAATTATTTTGAATTAATATCTACCAGAATTCCGGAAAGGTTAAAATACACAAATAAAATTGACCCAATTCTTATTTAAATAAATTTAGTATTTTTATTTTATTTGCATCTCCTTTCTCAAAAATATCCATTTAATAGCTGAACTTATTTATCTTTTATATATCCAAATTTGCAAATGTTTATTTTAAACTTATATTTTTATTTTAAATTTTTATTGTTTTTTATATTTCAAAAATGGACACATACTCCTGGAATCCATTTATTTATTTTCTAAAACTTAAAATCTTCATCTTTGTAGATCAAGCAGTTTTCTTTTTGTTTCACATTTTATTTGTTTATAGTCGATAAAAAAATTATGAAAAATAAAAATTAGAAAAATTACAATTTTGATAATTTTTAATATAAAAAAAAGTTTTTAGAATAATTCTTAAAAATTAAAATTTGTAAAAGTTTTAATTTAAAACAAATTTTAAAAACATTCTTTCCCCTCAAAAAAGCACATTTAATCTTCTTCATCAATTATTTTCTCAGCAATTAAACAATGATTAATTAAATAATATTCTTCATAATTAAATAAAAACCATTTTTGATAAACCAATTCTTTAAATTTATTTTTACAAACTTTTTTAATTTCTCTAAATTTTAAATTTTTAATTAAATTATTTTTTGGATTTATTTTTTTTATTTTTTCTTTTATTTCCCCTTTGTTTAATTCAAATAAATAATTTCCATCATTAATTAAAGGTTGTAATGGTAATTTTAAAATTAATTCATTTCCATCAAACATTTCATCATCATCTTCTTCTTCTTCTTCTCCAAAAACAACAAGCTCTCCATCATTTAAATTATTCTCAATAGTTTTTGAAATTAAAATGTCTATCCCCTCTTTAAATCAATTAAATACCCCAATTTCCTCTTCTGTCAAATTTTCAAATATTTTTGAAGAACATTTTTCATTATTATTTTCTAATATTTTAACAAAAAACATAAAAAATTTATTAAAATATAAAGCTTCTAATTTAATTAAATAATTCCCCTTTTCTTTAAATTTTAAACAAATTTCAATTAAATCTTTTCCTTCACTATTTATAAAAATATTTAATTTAATTAATTTTATTTTTTCGACATTTCCATTGTCAATTTCCTTTTTCGGTTCAAAATATAATGGATAACGAAATAAAGGTTTAATTGACAACACTTCCTATAAAAATACAAATTAGGAATTTAATTAATAAAAAAACAAACTTCATTTCTAACTTTGCTATCTATATTTAAACTTCCATATTCAGTAATATATTCCATTTCATATTCTACAAGGCAACCCAAAAATAAATGCACACAGTATTTACGGCATAACTTTATTCGGATTTAATATAATGAAATCAAATAACGAATAATTGATAGGGGAATAAGTAGGGAATAAATAAATAATCTTCCTTCTCAGGGCGTGTGGAAAAATTTTGTGTAAAAGTTCACAAAACCTCGGTTGAGGTTTTCTTCTATTCCCGAACGAATCCAAATTTTTGGGTTAATTCAAGAAACCAAATTCAATGAGTACGGTGTCTGTATTAGAGACGAGTTAAAACAGGGTAAATTGGCTGCTCACCAACCCTCCTACTCTTTAGTCTTCTGAACTGAGGCGGAAAATTTATTTGACCACAGGATTCACGAAAATTAAGGCTGTTTTGACCTTTCTGCAAGAATGGGCTATAAAATTAATATAAAAATTTTAAAAATGAAAAAGGGAATAAAAGTTATGATAAAATGAAAAGTGTGCAGTTATTTTTGGGTTACCTTGTATATTTTTTAATCTACAAATTAAAATTCCCTTTCTGTAATTATTATTTAAATTTTCAATAAATTTTAATTTAATTATTTCATCGTTTAAATTTGCATAATCTTTCAATAAATATATTTTTGTATTTTCATTTTTACTGCAAAAATGATTTAATGGGGTTATATAATATTCTTTTCCATATATATTTATCATTGAATTAAATTCAACAGAAATTTCAATTAAATTTAAATTATCCTTGTTTATAGAAATATTTTTTAAATTAATATATTTGTTATATCTTCCAATAATAAAATTCTGTTGATTTAATTTTTCAATATTTTCAAAAGAAAAATTTAAAAATAAAATTAATAAAAGAATAAATTGAAAAATACATTTTAAATACATTTTTGCTTGTTTTGTTGAATTTAAATAAAATAAAATTAATTTAAAAATTATTTTTATAAAAAAATAAAGTGAAAGAAAAAACAAATAAAAATGCCTTTTTAAATGTAGTAAATGCACTTGATGTATTCACGTAAGGGGTAGGTAATAAATGCACTTGATGTATTCACGTAAGGGGTAGGTAATAAATGCACTTGATGTATTCACGTAAGGGGTAGGTAATAAATGCACTTGATGTATTCACGTAAGGGGTAGGTAATAAATGCACTTGATGTATTCACGTAAGGGGTAGGTAATAAATGCACTTGATGTATTCACGTAAGGGGTAATAAATGCACTTGATGTATTCACGTAAGGGGTAATAAATGCACTTGATGTATTCACGTAAGGGGTAATAAATGCACTTGATGTATTCACGTAAGGGGTAATAAATGCACTTGATGTATTCACGTAAGGGGTAGGTAATAAATGCACTTGATGTATTCACGTAAGGGGTAGGTAATAAATGCACTTGATGTATTCACGTAAGGGGTAATAAATGCACTTGATGTATTCACGTAAGGGGTAGGTAATAAATGCACTTGATGTATTCACGTAAGGGGTAGGTAATAAATGCACTTGATGTATTCACGTAAGGGGTAATAAATGCACTTGATGTATTCACGTAAGGGGTAATAAATGCACTTGATGTATTCACGTAAGGGGTAATAAATGCACTTGATGTATTCACGTAAGGGGTAGGTAATAAATGCACTTGATGTATTCACGTAAGGGGTAATAAATGCACTTGATGTATTCACGTAAGGGGTAATAAATGCACTTGATGTATTCACGTAAGGGGTAATAAATGCACTTGATGTATTCACGTAAGGGGTAATAAATGCACTTGATGTATTCACGTAAGGGGTAATAAATGCACTTGATGTATTCACGTAAGGGGTAATAAATGCACTTGATGTATTCACGCAAGGGGTAGGTAATAAATGCACTTGATGTATTCACGTAAGGGGTAGGTAATAAATGCACTTGATGTATTCACGTAAGGGGTAGGTAATAAATGCACTTGATGTATTCACGTAAGGGGTAGGTAATAAATGCACTTGATGTATTCACGTAAGGGGTAGGTAATAAATGCACTTGATGTATTCACGTAAGGGGTAATAAATGCACTTGATGTATTCACGTAAGGGGTAATAAATGCACTTGATGTATTCACGCAAGGGGTAATAAATGCACTTGATGTATTCACGTAAGGTAATTTCGATTTTTGAGTTTTTTTCTTTCTAAATTTCGATTTCCGATTTTTTAAGATTTTTCTTTCGAAACAACTCTGATTCACGTGAATATTTCAAAAATATTTTTTAAGAAAAAACTTTATTTTAATTAACTTTTTCTTAATTAAAAGTGAATGAGCCAGGCAGGGATTTTAGCCAGGAAATTTTTAAGATTTGTTTTTACATTTAAAAAAAAATTCGGAAAAATTAAAATTAACGAAGAATTAATCTGAAAAATTAAATGCTCTCAAAAATATTTTTAAATAGCTTTAATCTAGTAAATGGAATTTTTAAAAATTAGAATGTTAATCAAAATTCGGACTTATTTTGGTCTATTAAATGGTTATTTGTTTTAAATAAATTTATAATTTAGTTTATTTATAGTAATCTTGTAATAATAATAAAGGTATTTTAAAATTGCTATAAATATTTCTGGATTTCTTTTATTTTTGGTAATAATGTATTTATATTATCAATCACCAACAAATAAAAAAATTCTTTTTTTTAAATAATTTATTTAATTATATATATTTATTTAATTATTATTTGAAAAAAAAAACAAAAAAAAATTAATTAAATTCAATATCTTTTATTTAATTCAACTAAATCAATTGTAGTTGAGGGAAGTGATCGAATTGAAAGTATTGGCATATGTAATTCAACACGTAAACTGCTAGGGACCCAAGCACATAAAGAATAGAGGAATGGAATTATCTGAAATTGAGGGAAAGGAAAAATTAGAGGGGAATTTTATGGAAGAATTTATAAAAATATTATCAAATGGGAAGGGAGGACTAATAACAACCATTTAAAAGAATTCAAACCCCCCCTTCCCCCCTCCTCTCTCTTCTCTCTTCTACCTGTTCATCAAGTGTTACAGTCCAAACAAAATGTTGATCAGGCATAACATCCCAATGTTTAGTTTCATAACTAACGTTTTCTTCATCTACATGTATTCTCATCGCAATAAAACTTTAAAAAAATGAAATAATTATTTTCTAAAAATTTCTTTCTCTCACAGTTGATCCAAAGCAATTAATCCAGGCAAAAAAGGTTCCAAAGTAATTGCAACCAATTTAGCTAATTGTTCACAGGCATCGAAAAATCTTGGTTGTAAAGCACTCGGCCATTTACCGGGTAACATATTAATTACCTAAAGAAATTGTTCCCTAATTTTTAATTAAATTATTTACTTACAGTAGCTAATCTAATAGCCCATTCCGTTGAATATTGGAAAAAATTCATTGAATTAAATTGTCGTTGTAATTGAAGTCTGAAAATAAATTAAAAAAAAAATTTTTTTTTATTCTCTACCAACCCATATTGAAATTGTCCACCCAAATGTAATCCATCAATTGGAGAAATTAAAGCACCAAAATTAAAATCAGAATTATTATTTATTTGTTGCTGTTGTTGTTCTATTCCCTCAATATATTGAATAATTAATTTTTGTTGTTTTTCTTCTTCTCCCTCAATTTGGATTAAATTAATAGCTTCAAATGTAGCATTATCTTCATCGGTACTATTTAATAAGATTTTTACCAATTCCTATAAAAAATATTTTTAATTAAAAATATTTAGATAATAGGGGAAGAATAAAAAATATATATCACAGTCTAAATTACATTTGACCGGCCAAATTGAAATTGGACTAAAAAATAATTTGGACTGTGACATTCGGACCTCTATAATAAGGTTGACGGATAGTTGGAAAGCTTCAGATATCCGGATCCGGTATCCGAACCGAAGATCTCCGGATATCCGGACTTTTTTCGGATCCGGATCCGCCAACCTTGCTCTATAAAACAATTTTTCCCGTCTCTCAAAAAAAGAACTTGATAAATAAATTTAAATTCTTTTGATGTCCTATTCCAACTATAACCCTCAAATATTTTTTAAATAATTTTTGACTGTTTTTTTTTCAAATCTCAAAATTAATCTACATATAATTTTAAATTTAAACAAAACCTCCATCAATTCAGATTGTAATCTAATAATTAATCCATCCTCCACAACATTTACAACAAACTTTTCTCCTCCAACACATTTAAGGGCCCCATCAAAAATAACAAAAGAAGCACTTGTTGCTTTAAAAATTAATTTTAATTAATTAAAATTAAATTTTAAAAAAACCTTTAATTGCCATATTTGGTTCTTTCATAAATATTGTTGTACAAAAATGTTGTGGTTGCTGTCCATCTTCACAATTTTTTTGTTCACAAATTAGATGAGAATCAATCTTTAAATTTTAAAAATTAATTTTAAAATTTCTTTTATTTTTTCAAAAGGTTGTGAAAAAAAAGTTAGTACTACATATAATGCTAAAATTTGGCATAACTGCTTCATAAAATTAACAAGTAATAAGGTATTTTGTCCACAGATATAGCAAAACAAATAGAGCCAATACACAAATAGGGATTTCGCGAGAGCTGGGTTAGGCCAAGAGATTCCAACACAATTGGCCAAGGGTTTACCACCAACAAAAGATTCAGCAAAAGCTTTTGCTTGGATTAGGCCAAAAGATTCCAACACAATCGGCCAAGGAATTAGAACACCAAATAAAGGCCAAACAAATAGTAATAAGTTTATTTCACACAATTAAAATCCAACAAGTAAATTAATGATAAGGCCACAAGAACCAGAGCTATAAAACCAAGAGAAGCAAGCCAAACAGAATGAGCTAATGAGAAAGCTAGCCAACCCAGAAAGAAGCCAAGAATGAAAGCTAATGGGGGTTTGGAAGGGGAGATTATATAGGCCAGAAAAATAGGCGGGTAGACAGAAAAATATTTCGATCATTAAAGGCATAATAGGAACGATTAAATAAAATTGCACATGTTTTGAATAATACAAAAGATTGGAAAATTAAGTTAAGTTTTAGAACAAAAGAGCAAAAAATGTAAATAGGTTTTGAATAGATGTTTACAGCAAAAAATGATTTTTAGCCAGGTGAAAGTCCGAAAAGGAATTTGCAATAAGTGATGATTAATTTAGAAATAAATTAAAATTATAAAAATATATTTATTTTATTTTCCTCATCCTTAGTCGCTTCGCGACAACAGAGATTTTTAAAGAATTATTTTTCTCGCAAAATTTTTTCGCAAATTTAATTCGCAAATTTAATTTGCATTTTCAATAACCATCAATATTTAATAAAAAATTCAAATTTATTAAAAACCTCTAATTGCTGATTCAAAAAAGATAATTCATTTAATGACCAGGCAACCATATTTCGATTACTTTCAACCAAAGTTCGAATCTAAAAATTATTTTTTTAAATTTAATTAAATAAATAAAACCTCATCCCGAGCAGATGTAGGTAAAAATATTTCAGTTAAATTATTTTTAACAATTATTGAAGTATCAAAAAGTTTAGTCATTTGGTATGTCCAGCCACGAAAATCATTCAAAACCTTTTTTTATTTAAATTTTAAAATCTTTATCAAAAATTAATTACTTTCAAAACACTAGATTGGACAACATCTTTGGTAAATAAGGGTTGATCACGAATAATATTAACAATTGGAGTTGGATATTCTTAAAAAGTTTTCAAAATTATTTTAAAAAATAAAAAAAACTAACGAAAACTAAATTGTCCCAACCGCAATAATAACCTTAAAGGCGCACATCTTGCCCAAGCTATTTCTTCTTCACGTACCAAAACTCCCAAAAGGAAGGGGCCTTTGGGGCAATTTAATTTATTTAAATGCTAAAAAATAATTTTAAAAAATAAAATTTAAAAAAAAACCTCATCCAATCCTTGGGGCCTATAAAAATAAATTGCTTCAGTTGGGTGTCCCATAAATATTCTCATATGTTTATTTAAATAATAAAGACGTTGGATTCGATTATTACATCTATAATAGTTATAAATAATTTTTATAAAAGATTTTAATTTCTCTTGTTGTGTGACCACAAATTCGGGAAAAGGAAATGAAAGATAAAACTCAAGAGAAAAAAAACAATCAAAGTCCTTCTGCTTTTGTTTCCGAATTCTAATATGACACAGAATTACAAAAAGAATAATTCCCCTCAATTAACAATTAATTACCAACTTTCTAATCCCCATCCGGTGATCCAATAAATCATCAAAAGAATTTAAACAATCAAGATATATTTGTTCAAATTGTTCCAAAACATTGAAAAATGCTGATTCTAATTGCTACAAAAATTTTTAACTAATTATTTTTAAAAACAAAATTAAACTTCTTGAACAGAAAATCTGTCCCTTTTAAATTCAATTACAAGCATTAATTCATCAACACCCAAAGTTGTCATTCCATACGTTGTAAAATTGAGAATTTCAATTTCCTGTTGATTAATTTTAACTTAAAAATAAAATTTTTAAAATAAATTACAATCCATTTTTAACTCACAATTTTTTAGTAATTGAATTTTGACATGGAAATTCCGTCTCAATGCAATAACAACACACAAATTATTATTGTTGTTAGTGTTTCCCTCCTCATTTCCTTCCTCTTCATCTTCTTTTAATAAATTATCAATTACTTTATCCATTTTTTGAAATGACATATCTTCAGCGATAGAAGTTACTACACAAACACGCCAATGATTAATGTGTAGAAGACTTGTCTTAAAAAAATTATTTAAAATTCTTTCCTTTTCTCTAATTTCTAAAATTAAAATTTGAATAAGAACAAGATTTTTGGTTTCTAATTTAAAAATAAAAGAAATCCAAACAGATAATTAATCAAAATTCGATTTATTTAATTTATAAATTACCTGTTCATCCAACAATTTCCGTTCCTTTGTTCGACTAGAAATTCTTTTTGGCCTCTGAAAATTTATTTTATCATTAAAAATTAATTTAAAAATTATTACTTTATAAACTTTATTTTCCAACCCAACAACTTCATTTTCAGGTAAAGAATTACTTTGTTGATTTTCAGAAGAAGTTGAGAAGGGGGAAGAAGATTCATTATTTAATGAACAATTTTCTTCATTTTCTTGTATTTTAGAAGAATTATTAGATTCAGAATCAGAATTTTTAGATTCTTTATTAATTAACCAAGAATAGGGGTTATTCTGATTTTTGTTTTTCTCTTCAGAACTAAAAAATAAATTTAAATCAGAATGTTGTACATATAATAAATACAAAAAATTAAACCAGAATTTAAACAAAAATTTTGGTTTTTGTAATTAAAAAATATTCAGTAAACCAGAACAGTTAAATTAAAACAGAACATTAATAAAACCAGAATGTGTTTTAAATTATTAAACCAGAATTTTTAAATTGATTTCAGAATTTTTATAAATAATAAATTCTGAAAAAACAACGAAAACCCCCCGAAACAAAACCAGAACTCTTTCCGAACATTTAAAAATTAACAAACAAAAACACACCTTTCTGTTGTTGGTTGTTTTAAATTCTGATCTTTGTCTTTTCCATAAGGTTTAATGATTTTTCTTCTTTTAGAAGAAGTTTCAACTCCCTGTCCAGGATGTACTCCATCACGGAATTTTACACTTTTTTTATTTGTACTATTTTCTTCCTCTTCAATTAATTTACTCGTTGATGTAGTTGGTAGTTTTGAGCATTCTTCATTTAAATTTTCTTTTTTATTTTTTCCTTCTTCTTCCAAAACTTCCCCTCCTTCCTCTTCTTCTTTGTCTTCATTATTGTTTATTTCAACTTCCTTTTCCTCTTTATTTTTATTTAAAATATCAATAGAATCCCGTCTTGGAGGCTTCAAAAGTGATTTCTTTGGATTTTTATTTATTAAATTTTCTTGTTCTAATTTTTTATTTTGGTCATCATTGCTAGAATTTAATTGGTTAGTTGATGGAAAGGCTAAAGGGAATAAAAAAAATAATTTCAAAATAAATTCTCTGAAAATTTTAAAAACCAAAAATTTATTTCCTTTTACCATTAGAAGTTGAAGGCCCATCAATTTCCTCTTCTAAATTTTCATTTAATCTTTTTTCGTATTCCTCAATTCTATCAAGTGTTCGATTACAAGGAGTACAAACTCTGTGTTTATTTGAAGGATTGTCATCATAAGCTAATGAACGTTTATTGGAACAACAAGAACTGCAAAGAACCTAAAATTTTAAGAAATAATTTGAAGAAAAAATAGAGACAATTTTTTATTCAGGAATATTTTAAATTCTTTCTTAGGTGTTTTCTACCAAGTTTAACCAGAAAGAAATTAAACTTAATTAATTTTCCCTGCAAAATTTATTCTCCTTTTCCCCTTCCCTCTCTACAAAAATAAAATTAAAGAACAAACCCTTCCACAAGCTCTACAATGATGCCTTCTAACAACAATAGAAAAACCTTTAGAACACAACATACAACAATCACAATCATCGTCAGGTATCCAAAAAGGCTTTTTCTTTCCCAAAGTTAATTCGCTTTCTGTTAATTTAAATTCTCCAATTGATTTCGACAAATAATGGTAAGTAGCTAATGGTGGAGGTATTAAAGCTGTGAGTTCTTTTAGCCTTTTTATTCTCTCGTCTTTAAAAATTAAAATTAAAGAAAATTTTGCGTGGTTATATTAAATTAGGTGAAGACCTTTTAGCATTTAGAATTATAAATCCTCCCTAAATATACGCTAAATTTCAAAATTCTTTAATTCAAGATTTAAAAAACTAAGGGAAAAACAAAATACTATGTTTAAGTATCCAGAGGATAAATTAATAAAATCAAATGATGTTTTGGAAAGTTAACTCTGTGCTATTAAAACTACGAAATGTTTGGAAATAAAAATCATTAATTTGTTAAATGTTAAAAAATTTAAAAAACCTTTAGCAGGGTTTGGATAATGCACTTTTTCTTCCATAGAAGGCCATTTACTTTCATCATTTTGCTCTACACAATACTCTTCATTTTCTTTTTCCTCTTCATCTTTTTGTTTTATTTCATTTAAAGCTTGATCTGAATAAGAGAGAAAAATCTTGAGGTTTCTTAAATAAAAATACCAAAAATATCATCCACAAAAGTATTCAAGAATAAAATAAAAGGAGAATTTTCCCCTCCTTTATTTCCCTCTATATTGTCTAAAAATTAATTTAATTTTAAATTAAAAAATTTAAAAAAACCTTTACTCTCATTTTCCAATAAATTCGATTTATCTTCATTTTCTTCAGTAAATCCTTCCTTTTCTTTTTCCTCCTCCAATTTAATTAATTTATCCATTTTATCAATTTGCTCATAAATATCTTCTTCTAAATCTTCACAATTTTCTTTTTTGTTTTCAACACTAATTTTGAGTGTTTTCTGAAATAAAAATATTTAAAAAAAAACAAAAATATAGTTTACTGAAATGGACGCGAAAGCTAAATCAGGTAATGTCTTCTCCAAAATTAGTTGATTTTTGTCGGCTAAAATTAATTTTTTAAAAAATTTGTTAAACAATTTTTTGGCAATCTAGTTGGTGTATTTAAATAAATAAAAAAAATTAAATAAAAACCTTTTAGTTCAATATCAACAGTACAAAAAACATTCTCATTTTCCTCCCCAACCAACTTTTCATCAAAATTGTCTGTGACATTCTCCAAATTTTTATTAGACAAATCGGAATTATTTTTGCTTTGTTCTGCTTTTTGATCAGATTCTTCTTTTTCCAACTATAAATTTAAAAAAATAATCCAAAAATCACTTAAAAGGTTTAAAGAAAACTAAAACCCACAAAATTCATTTCCTAAAAAATATCCCGAATGATTTAATATTAGACATTTTTAACCAAAGGATTAAAAAAATTTTTAAAACCTGATCCAACATAGCATCCATATCTATTAAATTTGAAGAAATATTTGTTGAAGTTGTTGAAGGTTTGTTTGACAGTGATGAATCATTTAAAAACATTGGAGAGAAAATAAAATATTTTTTTAATCTTTTAAAAATCTAAATAATTAAATAAATTTTTGCTTTAAATTAAAAATATAAATTTCTAACAAAAACAAATACAACAAAAAGATTTAAATCCAACTCGCCTCATAAAATAACAAAAAACAGATCCGTTCACCCAAAAAACTGCAAGAAAAACTATGCATTTAATCAATAATTTTAATAAATATTATGGAAGTTAACAAAAAATTTTCTAATCAAAAAGTCCCTAAAAATAAAAATAATCATAAGATAAAAACTAAATTATAAATAAATATTAGAACGAGACAAGTAAGAGAACACTTTCCCTGCTACTTTTTCACATTTATGTAAAACACAAAAACAAATGAGCGAAAAAGAACGATCGAAAGTGTGTTGAATTTTTGTTTATTTTTACTTTAATATTGATTATAATTAATTAATTAATTGAAAATTTAAAATTTAGTTAATTTAGATTCCAAATAAAAATTATTTTTGCAACATTTTGTCTCAAATTCTAGTATGTTAAATATTTTATGATAAAAAATTCTTTTAACAATTAAATATACAAAAATTATTCGATAATTGATAGAGTAAATTGTATGTTTACTCAAAGAAAGGTAAACAAAAAAAAAGATTTTTAAACATTCCTCCCTGGGAAAGAAAAATTTTTTGAAGATTTTTTACAAAGTTATTTAAAAGGTAATAAATTTAGGGGGAGGGGATTTCTGGAGAAAAAATCTTCAATTAGGAGGAAAGATCAACAAAAATTATTTTTCTATTATTATTTAGAAACAAATAAAATTTAAAAAAAATCTATTTAAAATAAAAGAATGCCTGATGAATTATTTTGATTTTTTTTTAAATTCCTTCATTCAATTTTGCTTGATTTTCTCTACTTTCCACCTACAAAAAATTTCAATTTTTAGAAGTAAAATTAAGCTTTTTTTGTCGGCATTGAATCTCTATTTTAAAGAAAAGTAAATGTGAATATTTTAATAGAAAAATATTTTTTTGAAATTTTATTTCCTTCTAAAAATTCAATGCCGACAAAACCACCCTAGAAAATACTAGTAAAAATTAGTACACAATCACATTGCGTAATTAAAAAATTAGAAAATTTTAATTTACTTCTAATTAATGGACGGCTACGTTTGGCAGGTGTTGGTTGTGAAGTATCACGTTTTGAAGAGGTTGGTGGTGTGGGAGAGGAATTTGCTGATTCATCTCTTAACTCTTCTTTAACTTCTAAAAAATTTAAATAATTTTATTAAAAGGATACTTTAAAACCTTCTCATTTCTCAGAGAAAAGAAATGATAAAGGAGAGAATTTGAGCTCTTTAAAAGAAACTTATTTTCGAACAAAAAAATATCAAAAAATTGTATAAAGGAAAATGAACTCAAAAAGAAAAATAAAAGTTTAAAAACACACGTGGGGAAACGGAAGGCAAAAAACCCCTCGAAAATAATCAGAATCTCACCCACCGATTTATGTCAAAAGAATTTAAATAAGCCCGAGAAAAAAAATTAAATTCTCATTTATTTAAGGAACTAACCACAAAAAATCTTTTAAAAAATACCAGAATTATGTGCTGTTACTGGCTGTTTTCGGGTTGTTCCGTTTGTAGAAGAGCTTGATTTAGTAGCCTTCTGTTAAAAATATTATTTTTCCTTTATTCAAAAAAATAATTTATTTACCACACTACAGAATTCATTAATCTCATACAGCCTTCTACTTCCACCATTTTTAAATCCTTCATTTCGTTTTTTTAAATTTATAAGAAAACTGGTACATAATAAATTTAAATCTTGACGGTTGGTTTTTTCTCTATCCCGACACGCAGCGACGTTTTTTTGTATATTTGCGTCTAATTGAGTTAATAATGGATATGTTGGCAATATCTGAAAAATAAAGGAAAAATTGTTTTTTTTAATTTATTTAAATACCATCAACATGAAGGTAAGAGAATTTCTAATCAGAATATAATTTGTTTGTTGCAACATAAAGGAAAGAGACTAAAAAATAAAATTGAAGAGAAAATATAATTAAATAAAAAATTTAAAAAATTTAGAATTATTTAATAAGACAAAACTTTGTTTTAAAAAAATCAGAAAATTCTGACTAGACTAAAATTTTATTTTAAAATATAAATAAAGCTTTCCCATATGAACAATAATTCTGATTTTTTCAGAAATTTTTTCCAGAATAAATTCTGATTTTAAAATATTTTTATTTTTACCTTTGTTAATCTAATCATCCACTTGTAACAAATAGAACGATAAAATTCATAAGTAAAAGCATCTGCCGCAGCTTTATCATCCATATCTTTTTTTCTAATTTTTGTAACACAGCCAGGAAAGCCCTCACACTCTTCTTGGAAAACATTTTTGCTTGAATGCCAATGAAGTATTAATTCCAATAAAATACAACAAAAACGGCCAAAACAAACAGTTTCACGTTCAGAAAAACCACCAAGAATTGGAGAAACGTCTGTGAATATCTTTGAAAAATAAAAATTATTAGTTTTACTGAAGAAAATAAATTTGTCCGAAAATACTATACTTATGCTAATTATTCGTAAATTAAAAAATAATATTAGAAATTCAGATGAAAATAAATTCAAAAATTTTTCAAGCTTAAGGAAAATTAAAAGAAATTTAAAATTACTTTGTCAAAAAGAACGATTGTCTGGAAATCATTTGTTTTTGTAATGTGTAACGCCCGCACTAGCTCGGCACAATAAACAGCATCAACTTCAGAACAAATAACACGTGGAAATATACAACTTTGAAGAAAACGAAGTGTTTGGCTCGATTTGTCTATTTTGAATAAAAAATTAAGAAAATAAAATTTAAAAAAACAACTTGGCAAAGATTTTGCAAAGAAATTCTTTTTGATATCCTCATCTGATAGAATATCCAAAATTCTGGCTTTGTGTTCTAATTGTCTGAAAAAAGAATTGTTAATTAATCACAAAAACTAAATTTTAGAAATTCGTCTCCAAGTATAATCCATAACCTTTTTAGACCTTCCAAAAAATATTAAAAATTAAAAACCTTTTCTTTTCCTCATTCAATTTAAGCTCCAATGATTTAAGCCTCTCTTCTTCTTTGGCTGTCCGTCTAAGTGTAGCTGCTCCTCCACGAATTCCTAATAGCCCAGAATCACTACTGACTTGATGTAGTTCTTTTAATTCTTTATGAATTTTCTCAATATTTCGTTCATATGCTGCTTCGGGAACAATTAAGTCATTCACTGAGAGAAGCCAGAAAATTGTGTGCAATCTATAAATAATTTTTTTGAATAGAATTAAAGGTACATTAAATTTTTACATTCCTAACAGAGGTTATACCTATAATTATTTGAATGATAAACTTCCAACCTATAGGTAATATCCTGCCACATTGTTTGAGGAAATGCTTTAGCCAATTCCTCACTTAACGTATCCAAACGATTAATAAATATTTCTCTGTAAATGAGAGATTTTTGAGCGTTGTCTAACGATGTTATATCCTCGTGTTCTTCTTTATATTTTTGTTTAGCTGATTCATAAGATGTCTAAAAAATTTAAAAAAAATTAATATAGTTGCAGTAGAAACAAATAAATCAAAATAAAGGGCAAAGATAATTTTTAAAATTAACTCCTTCACGATCCCTAATAATAAAAAAACAAATAATTACCCCAATTTCATTCATATAAACAGGGCGCATCAGACAAAACATTGCATCAACAGAAAGATGATAATCTGTTAAAAGCTCTAGAGCTGAAGGTAGTCGTTTAGAATATTGCTCTGGTTTTAGATTTGTGCGAAGAAAGTGGAAAAATTGAACGAAAGTTTCCTGGCACTGGAAAAAGACAGATAAATTAAAGCTAGGCTAGATAAACATCCGGACTGAGAAATGTGGAACAGATAGGAAAAACGGATCTAATCAAAATAGGTGAGTCCACAAATAAAATTAATATTTAATTCACGTCCCAAAAATATTTAAAAATAATTACCTGATCAAGCATTTGTGTAGCCAATTTCAATGGATATTCAGCAGAATCACGAAACACAATAAATTGCCTTTGTTGTCCAATAAGAATGCAAAGTGATTCAAATAATCCATCTTTTAACAAAGCATCACGAAGACGATTTATTGAACGACGATTTAATTTATTCATTTGGAGAGAGCTTGCCTTGAAAAAGAACAAAATTAAAAAAATTTTTTTTAATTACTTCGCTTCGAAGTATATCTCCCCCACATAGTGAATCCAAATGTTCTTGTGTCAAATCAGAAGCTGATTCAATTCCAGAAATGCTTGTGACAATTTCACGTAATACAATTAAATCCAAACTTTTAGAAAAAATTTTTTTATTAAATTAGGTAATTCCTCACTTTTTAGCATCCTTTAATTGATTAGTTATATATTGAAGAATGCCTCCAAGGTCAATATTGTAACGCTTAAAAATTGCAGCTGAAAAGCTTGCCAAAGATTGAAGCCATGGGGAGTAGGAAATATCCAAAACTTTAAAATCTTGTTTTTCTGGCGCTGCCAAATTTTCGATGAGGCAATCTAAAAAATAAATTTATTTATTTAAAGATTTAAAAATACAAACATGCAAGAACGTCAAATTCGAGCGAAGAAAGAAAACGAATAGAATCAACAACTGGACCAATAAAATTTTGGAATTCTTGTACTTTTCCAAGTAAATAATCCAAAGGAATTGTTGGATATGAATGGCATAATCTTTAAAAATTTTATTTAAAAATTTTTTTTAATTTTTTATTCGACTCACTTTCCCAATTGTCTACCCATTACTTTAGCAGTATCTTTACTCAATCGCTTCATTATATATCTTGTCATTCCCAAAACCTTTCCTCTTTGAAGACTTAATTCCCAACAACGTTGAGTATGTATTGTACGCCAACGATGATAAATTCTTTTAATTAAAAAAATTTTCTTTTAATTAATTAATTGGCTCACCGATATCTTTCTTGGTAAGGAAGACGACCCAAAATTTGCCAAAGTTCC